TAGTTGTCCTGAAGCATCCTTGTCTAAATTTAGACAAAGATGAAGTTCAGACGAAGATGGTTTCATTATTACAACTACATTTATAACAATGCATTTGAAAATGAGTACGTTATTTTGGTATGTAAAATTATCATTTTCAATTCAGTCATAGTTTTGAGCGTAGTCTATTAATTTTGGTCGGTTAGTAGATTCGGGTTCTCTTAAGTTAGTGATTAATTTGATATATATAATACGTTAAAAATAAATAATGGTGATTAAGAAGTTGATTCTTTATGTACAATCAGTTGAGTTGGGAAAAAAGCATTTGGGAAGACTTTAAAAGAGTTTTGGTCCTACATTGTAAAAACGGAATATTTGCACTAGTATTTATACAATTCTCCTTTTAGGGAAGTTTGAATTGTATAGTGTAGATATTCTTTTTCGTGCGTAGGGAATGCAAATCAAATTTTAAAAAATGAGTCTGAAAAATTTGACATGTGTGCACCCGCGACATGTGAACACGAATGTCTGCTGACACTAAGGGTCTTCTGGTGGCTACTTTGCGTGGTTTTCTAGAATAGTATCTCTAGTCTCTGCCGTCACCCGATGGATACTTTGCGTGGTTTTCTAGAATAGTATCTCTAGTCTCTACCGTCACCCGATGGCTACTTTGCGTGATTTTCTAGAATAGTATCTCTAGTCTCTATCTTTGCGTGATTTTCTAGAATAGTATCTCTAGTCTCTACCGTCACCGATAGGAAATAGAGTCTGTTGGCTACTTTGCGTGGTTTTCTATAATAGTATCTCTAGTCTCTACAGTCACCGATGGCTACTTTGCGTGGTTTTCTAAAATAGTATCTCTAGTCTCTACCGTCACCGATAGGAAACAGAGTCTGCTGACAATAAGGGTCTTTCGATGGCTACTTTGCATGGTTTTCCATAATAGTATCTCTACAGTGCGTCGTCTGTGCGTAATCTCTTCCGAGTCAAAATTAAATGAGGCTGATTAAATTCTCGTTCATTATGTGAGTTATATTTTAATTCCAATCTTAAATTGCGAAATTAACTTGTAAGGGTTGTAACCATCATATTTTTTTTATTTTTTTTCAATGTGGGGGTTACAGACTATATATATGAAATGCCATTGCTGCGAATAAATTCCATTTTACCTACAAATACCTATGTTGGGTTGGTTATTTTACATGTTGATTTAAGAATTCAAAAATGACTAGTGTCCGTTTATAAAAACAAAAAAAAAAAACAAAAAAAAAACAAAAAAAACAAACAAAAAAACAAACAAAAAACAAAAAAAAAAAAAAACAAAAAAACAAAAAAACAAAAACAAAAAACAAAAAAGAAGAGAATTTCTTCAATTTTCTGAAAAATTAGAGAATTTGATAATAAAAAAATAGAAAACATATTTAATAATTACAACTGAAAAACTTTTTTTTTTTTAAATGGAAAACAAAATCATTTATCATCTTAATTGGTTATATATCACTATACCCATATTCTCACATTTTTTTATTTTCATATTTATTCATTACTATGTTTACATCCATTATCATCTACTTTTATAGTTTTATATATTACTATCTTTTATCTTTTCTACTCGCATTTACTTATGTAAATATAACTTATTTGTTTACGCTTAAAGTTATACATTATTCACATTATCACAATTAACACTTGAACTCCAAACCAAATTTTAGATTTTTATTGAAATCCATAGGTCATTAATTAGTTAGGATATTTTTAGGTATGTTATATCGTAATACAAGTTTGGTTTGGATATCATATATTAAAATTTTACATATATTAGACTTCAAAATACAATTTACATGTATACATTTCATTCAAATGAATATATCCACAAATATTTTAAATATTAGCTAAAAATATATTAATATTATCTAAACTAAATTTTACGTGAACTTAATAGGTTATTGATTCAAATATATTTTTAGTTATGTTATATATGCATATAAATTTTGTTCGGATATCAAATGTAAAAATCTTATATATATTAGACTCAAAAGTAAATATTATATTTATTCTATTTCAACCAAACATATTCAAAAATATTTTAAATATAAGGTCTAAAAATCACACCGAAATAAAATTGTGTTATTTTTATAACGTTAGTCTAAAAAAATAAACTTGAAAAAGTGAGTATTAATAAACAAGTTTTGTAAATAGAAATCAAAGAATGAAAACGGAAAAAAATAGAAAACAAAAAATATAGAACAATTTTCTGAAGTGTACAAACCACCAATTTTTACTCTCTCGTAAAACACTTTTCATCCTCAAATAAATTTTGCAATAACTTTGATATAAAATTACCAAGTGTTCGGTTTGTCAAAAGTTTGATGAAAACATTATATTTGAATGTTCAAATATAATGTTGCAATCTATTTTATCCTGAAAGACTGACACTATAAAACTCATAACACCCTCAGGAGCTAGCAAATCAGTTTTAAGAAAAATGTATGAAATACAAGACATGAATTCTCCTGATGTGTGAGTAAGAGATAGCAAATCAGTTTTAATATGTGTGAGTAAGAGTTAGTATTGTAATATCTATCCTAATGTTATATTCTTAATTATTATATTTAAGGAGATTTTTGTCTATCTAGAGTTCATGAGTTTATGAATGATTTTTGTTTGTATCTTGATCATGTTTGTTGTACAACATTCAATAACATGCTTTTGGAGGAATTTTGGCTACAACGAGAGTTAGGTCAAAATTTCAAGTCACGCATTGCATAAACTCAATTTCTCTCTATGAAAATATGAGAAATTGCGGGTTTTGATGTTTTGTGTGCTTAAAGATCGAACTAAATCATCTCAATTTACCTCTTCATGTGCTTGGAGTGTGTTTATGGCGTCCATAATGTTGTCCGATAAAATCAAAAAATCTTATTTATCAAAAATAAAAAAGAAAAAGCTTTTTTTTTTGAGTGCTACTGGCTCTATTACATGGTAGTATCTGTTCATATACTTTCTCAACCTACTGAAACAAAAAAAAAAAAGTAAACCAATAACGCCTCCACTAAAGCTTGAACTCATAATCTTCCAAATGGAAGTCCAATCCGGGTACCATTAGACCACATAGTCCTAGTTATCTAATACACCGTAATTTCTTATGTTTATTGAAATTGTATCATATATTTTATTAATGATATAAAATGAAGTAAAAATTTATTAAATACAAAATAATCTACCATTACATACAAAATTAAACATTTGGTTGTTGTAGTAGGCGGTGGGTGGGGTGGTAGTGTGGTACTTAACATCATACATTTCGCTATTAAATTTAATATTAAAACGAAAAAAAAAAAAAAAAAAAAAAAGAGATAAGAAAAGAAACGGTAACGCCCCCCTTTCCCGTAATTCGTTTAGCCTTTCTGGACCCACTTGACGATCTTAAAACCGATGTTGACGTGTGAATTCCTTGTTGTGGGACCCTGCACATGTTACTGTCCAGTTGTTACTAAAGATGTTTGACGAGACGCGTGTACCCAACGCTCCCGGGTATCCCGGCTTTTCTCAACCGGTGTTAGTTTTTCACGCCCCTGGGAACGCGTTAAATACCAAAGTTGACTGATCCGTGCCATTCATGTGGGTCATACACCAATAACACCGTATCCTTTCAGAGTATAAAAAAAGCTTTTCAATCTTAAGACCTCCCACTCCATTTTACAGCGCGTGAAAAACAACACAATATTTTTCAGAGCGTGAATTGCACTCTTGAAGGTCTCGTTGTCCGGTGGCGTTAACATAACATCCGGGTTGGTTTACCACCATCTCGGTGGGTGGCCCCACCACCTCAGTTTCACACACGTACTGCCACCTCATCTAGAGGTGCATGGACATATCATTTTCGATGTGTCGATGAAAAAAATGTAATATTAATTAAAAATAAACTGTTTATTACTAGTATTATTTTTAAATTAAAATATAAAATTAGTATTTTTGTCAAAAGTGTTATAATTTTTTTGTTATGTAACAAATATTAATTATTATTAATACGGTCTATTTTTTTTTTATTGAGGCTCGTACTCACAACTTTTCATATAAAAATTAACTCAGTGTCACTAGACCATAATGTTTTTGGACATCAGATGAACTTGGTATGTATACTATTTTAAAAGTATGAATGCGTGATGCAATAAATACCGGCTAATGCTAATCACTTCCCACGGAATAAAGGTTTGCTGTTAATGAAAAGTTGTGTACAACAATCCTTAGCCTTTTCAAAAAATTCATTATGCTTGCATGAAACATAAAACGTTTGACCCCACAAACCTTATACAGCTGGTGTATAAACAAGTAATGCCGTGTTTATTTATTTATTTTCTAGAAATTAATACTCTGTAAATGAATAAAACAGTAATTATTACTCGTATAAGTTAAGATACAATTGTTGCACGCACGCAGTATAAACAAGTAATGCCGGCGTAGAAAACGCTAATATTAAAATTAAATTAAATAATACTCCGTAATAAAATAGCAACACGAGCAGGGGCAAAAAAGGGTAAAACGAAAAAGGCGAGAGTTTTTTTTCTGAAAGTCTTAAAAGAAATGCTCCATATTATTGTTTCCAAAAGACTAAATTCTCAATTTTAAAAATTACACTCTGTTCGACCTGCATTTGAAATTATATAAATCATAGTAATTTAATTGAATATGTTAAACCTTGGCTTACTGGGTACAAAGAATCATTTACTTTGAGAAATTACTCTCACACTGTCACTGGTAAAATTTAACTTCAAATTATTATTTTTAAATTTTACCTTTGTGACTAACTAAGCTATCAAGATACTGACAAATAATTCTAATTATTGAGGGTAGCACATGGGGTATTATTAAGTTAGTGAAAAATAGTGATTGAATTTACTGTTTTGGAAATTGGGATTTCAGAAGAATTTCAATGGCATAAATAAATAAATAAGAGAAAATAGTAATAAAAAATTAAAAAAATTAAAAAAAAAAAAAAAAAAAAAGGCCACAAAACCCTATTATTTTGGTTGGTTTCTCTTCCTTATCTCCTCAAGTCCTCCGTATCCTTTCTCTCTCTCTGCTTTCTTGGAGCTCGCGCCTTCTTCACGAGCACTCTTTTTTTTTTCTCGAATCCACAGAAACTAGAGAAAATAATAATAGTAACCAAATGATAAAGTAACCCCCGAATCTGAAATTGATGCAAAAACCCAGAAATTGAAAAGCTTGGGAACTCACATGAAATGATCTGGCTTTGTTGAGCAGAAATCCGCAGTAAATTTCTCGACTTTTTGAAATCACAGAGCAGAATGAAGAGGGAACGCGATCGACCCAAGGCGGCGAGCTCGTCAATGGGTAAAGGCAAGATTTGGGAAGAACACCCGCCGGATGCCGGAATGGATGAGCTACTGGCGGTGTTGGGCTACAAGGTGAAGACTTCGGATATGGCGGACGTGGCTGAGAAGCTTGAGCAGCTGGAGATGGCCATGGAGGATGGGATTTCCCATCTTTCGACTTCTACGGTTCACTACAACCCTTCTGATCTCACCGGCTGGATCCAGAGCATGCTCTCCGAGCTCAACGCCTCCTCTTCTTCCCCGCAGTCTTCCTGCAGCGCCGTGCTCACCGGCGAATCTTCCAATATTATCAGCTTTTCCGGCAATAAGCACAACGGAAATGGTAGTAGGAGGATTTCCGACGATGATTTGAGGGCTATTCCAGGCGGCGCTATTTTCAGCAAGGGGAAAGAATCCTCGTCTTCGGAGTCTTATAAACGACAGAAATCCTCAGCCGGATCTGATTTTAGCGGCGGAGAAATTGGCGGCGGAGCGGCGGCTACAGAGACTCCTCGATCGGTGATGCTGGTGGATTCTCAAGAAGCCGGCGTTAGGCTTGTCCATGCGCTGATGGCTTGCGCCGAGGCCGTCCACCAGGAAAACTTCAAGCTAGCCGACGCCCTAGTCAAACACATCGGAATCCTAGCCGTCTCCCAAGCCGGCGCGATGAGAAAAGTGGCGACTTACTTCGCCGAAGCCTTGGCTCGCCGGATTTACAAAATCTACCCTCAAGACACCCTGGAATCCTCCTACACCGACGTTCTCCAGATGCACTTTTACGAAACATGCCCCTACCTGAAATTCGCTCACTTCACGGCTAACCAAGCCATCCTCGAAGCCTTCACGGATTGCAGCCGAGTCCACGTCATCGACTTCAGCTTGAAGCAAGGGATGCAGTGGCCGGCTCTTATGCAAGCTTTGGCTCTCCGACCCGGCGGCCCGCCGGCCTTTCGGCTCACCGGGATAGGCCCTCCCCAGCCGGATAACTCCGACGCGCTGCAGGAAGTCGGGTGGAAGCTGGCTCAGCTGGCGGAAACTATCGGCGTGGAGTTCGAGTTCCGCGGCTTCGTGGCTAACTCGTTAGCCGATTTGGACGCGTCGATACTGGATATTCGGCCCCGCCACGTGGAGGCGGTGGCCGTGAACTCCGTTTTCGAGCTTCATAGGTTGCTGGGCCGCGGCGGCGGGATAGAGAAAGTGTTGGATTCGATCAAAGGTATGCGGCCTAAGATTGTGACGATTGTGGAGCAGGAAGCGAATCACAATGGCGGCGTGTTTCTGGACCGGTTTAATGAAGCCTTGCATTACTATTCCACCATGTTTGACTCGCTGGAGAGCTCCGGGTTGACTCAGCCCAACAGCCAGGACCTGGTGATGTCGGAGCTCTACTTAGGGCGGCAGATCTGCAACGTGGTGGCGTGCGAGGGGCCGGACCGGATCGAGCGCCACGAGACTCTGAGCCAGTGGAGAACCAGGATGAAATCGGCCGGGTTCGAACCGGTTCATCTCGGTTCAAACGCCTACAAGCAGGCGAGTATGCTCCTGGCGCTGTTCGCCGGCGGTGACGGCTATAGAGTGGAGGAGAACGACGGGTGTCTCATGCTAGGGTGGCACACCAGGTCGCTCATTGCCACGTCGGCCTGGCAGCTCAACGGCGGCGGCGGCGGCGATCCGTAGCGAGTCAACTCGTGAACAACGCATGAGTCAGCTCGGAGAACTCGGCACCCCGGTGACGGTAGTGATGTGCTGAGTTGGTTGGTTTGGTGGAAGTGAGAGACAGAGAAAGGGACGGACCAAAAATGAGTCAAATCCTGTCTTTTTACTTTTTTTTTTTTTTTTTACTTCAATCTAAAAGTCATCCTTTTTAGAATTTCTTTGTTTTTTTTTTTTTTTTTTTTTTTTTTACCCTTTTGAAGGAGTGGTTTGATTTGGGTCGTTTACCTTATTTGGCTTAGGATTTCTCCCTTTTGCTCTCCTGCCTAAGTGTGCTATAATCTCAACTTAAAAAGAAAAAAATAATAATTATTTATGATTCAATGGCATGGAGAGTAAGTTAATAGGAGAACGTTTATGTTTGCTGTGAAGTCAATAAAAACATGTAATGTATGTACAATCCATCTTCTTATTAATTTCTAGCTTTTCGTAAATTCTGTGCATAATTACTTTCTCAACCTACTGATCAATTTGAACTCTGCGATCTTTCATTTTGAAGAGCTATTTCATGCCACTAGATTACTAGGTCATTGCCTCGCGAATTCTTATTTAGAATCATAATAACATCCTTACATTATGATATTTTTCTTGTATTTGCTTGGATTAGGTTGTTTTCAAGGTTTATAACCATAGACTGGGAATCCGAGAAAAAGGAAAAAGGAAAGGGGGGATATTAGTCACTTTCTGTGTGGCTAAATACGTAGATATTTTGTGTTATATTCTGCCGCCCCAAACACAATGAAAATGAAATTGGGATTTATAAATATATATATAATATATAATATATAATATATAATAATCCTATTTCCTTCACTAATTACTCTAATCGATTAAATCCCACATATTTAATATGAAATTCCAATTATTCAACACTTATTAATACGCCGAACAAATAACCGGCCGGCAGAAGTGTTGTAACCGGAGTACCGGTCAAATAAAGTATTTTAAAAAAAAATTAAAAGTACTCTAAATATTTGATTTAAACTTAAGTGAAATCATTTTTTATTTTCCTTTAAAAAATATATTTTGTATTTCTTTAACTTAATGTTCTAAATATTTGATTTAAAAATTATTTTAGATAAAAAAAAAAAACTCTTTAAAAGTTGAATTTGGATAATTTCAAAAATAGAAAATTATAAATTGGAATTTGAGAAAAAATTTAGTACGAACGACAAATCGAAAAATTGGAACTGAACCTTTCCTACAAGGTTTCGGTTCCTCCAATAATATAATTGTGAACTATTGGTTCAAAACCGGAACAAAATTGAGATCACATCTAGTTATAATAACCATGATTGAAAAAATCGATAGGCGCTCCTTTATCGTTCGTGGAGCACCTAGCGCCTAGGGGGCGATTAATCGACGTTTAAGCGTCCGTGTATTTTTTTTTATTTTATTTTTTATTTTTTCAAGATATGTTTAAAATTTTTTTAATGTTTTTAGGACTAATAATTATAAACAATTTAATACTTTAATAGTTAATACTAAAATATTAAATATTAATCTAAAAACATCTCAAGTTTGAACAATTTAGGATTATTCCGCTCAAATGATGTGGTTTTGAATGAAATAACCCATTAAAAAAATAATAGCTAATCGGCCGACTAGGCAGTCTAATAGGTGTCTAGAAGGCCTAGTCGGTGCCTAAGAGGCGTATGCGGTCTAGCCTGCCGGCTGCCTAGACCATCGATTATGGTGATACGCTAGGCGGGCGGTCGGCGCCTAGGCGAGATTTTTACAACACTGATAATAACAAATTTTCAAACAAGTCTTGAATAGTTGGATCAAGTAGGTGACGTATATTCTCGTACCAAAAAGTCACTAGTTTGATTCTCGCTAATACATTTTTGATCAAAATTCGTCACACAAAATCTTTCTAATACTATAAAAACAAATATTCAAACATAATAATTATGTTAATGACGGTGGAAGAGTCCCACATAGAAGACTTAGAAAAAGATGAGTTAATTTTGTTAAGGTCGAAGATTTATTTATAATATATGGTATAAAATAGTCAAAGAAATGAGAATGGAAGAAGTTAGTAGTTAGTAGCGTATAAAAAGGAAATAGGAATATTCCAAGTGGAAGTGTAATTAATTAATAAGTAGGAAAAGTAAAAGAGGGGCAGAGAAGAGTTGCATTATAAGTGAGTGTGAGTCCAGTTAGTGACGGCCCCAATTGGTGCAAAAGATTCAAATGTGGATTTTAATCAGTTGGTCAGCCATCACCATTTTTACCAAACTTTATCCACATTGTCCATTAACACACATCAAGCTTTGGCCCATATGTTTTAATCAACTGCAACTAATCATGCTTACTTTTACTTAGAAATATTTGACTTTGATATGACTCTCTTCACCCCGTGTTTAATTTACTAGGGAATTAAACAATTGTCCCTCGAATCACTCAACTATGAGGCACCTACTCAGTTCCTTCTTGTAGCCCTTTGTTGGGTTTCTTAATTGAGTCGATTAGCTATTAATAACCTGTTCAGTTCTTCATTGTGGTCTGCAACTGCAGGTTTCTTCAGATCTTAGCGCTGCACTATGCTTACTTTTCAGTTGATCACCATCTTAATTGTGACTGCTGTAATTAAAACACGCTTAACCACAAAGTTCTTTGACTATCTGGTTGAAGCAGAGATATCCATGATTGCAGTTCTATAGGAAAACAGTTTTTTCCTTGTAAGGTGAAAAAAAATGAAGCAATGATTAAGAAGATTTTGAAGTGAGGTGGACAGGTATCATTCTAGCATTTGATGGCATTGAGGTAGACCATGCCTATGGGATCTTCAGGTGTGGGCAAGGGAAGCATGTTCTACCCATGTGCACCACATTTCTGCATTTAAATTTTCTGTTCAAACATCATATTGAACCTTAAAAGCATTCCTCACACATGCTTCTTTATTTCTGTAACCTTTTGGGGTCCCAACCAAATATGTTACAGATTTTGGAGGTACATTATACTGCTCCTCCTGCCTCATAACTAATATATCATCTTTATTTTGTGAAGATTGGGATATTAAACATAATCGCTCTAGCCAACTCATATCGACCACCCAATTATCATTCTTATTTTTAAGTCAAAATGAGTGCATGCATTAATGGCTGAAAGCTGTAGCCATGATGAGCGAGGTAGATGTTGGTGATCCAGATTATATTTGCACATGTGAACTCTCCATAATTGTTTGTGTACAAATTTCTGCAAATCCGAACCAAACACCCCACAATGTGCATTTGATTTTGGGCACTGGACCCGGATATACATGTAATGTTCCAAACATTAATTCATTCAAATCGGACTTATATGTGTAATTGAGTTGTGAATTTAATTGGATCATAAATGTAAACAGGTCAATGTTCAATCATGTTATGCATGTTAAATGTTAATTATTAATTGACACATTATATTGATCAATGAAATCAATTTATATGTGATGGAACTTATTTTCAAACCTAAAAGATTGCCCTGTTTGGTAACATAGCTAGCTTATTAGCCAATGTTAAATTATTTAACTACTATTAGCTGTTTGATTTGGTTAAACAAGCAATATGAGTGTTTGATTAATTAGCTTTTTGTAACAATTTATTATTCCAAAATACTAAAATTAAAAAAGATGCTCAAAGCTGCTAACAGCTAATTTCGATCAACATTTTGAGAAAATCATTTCGCATGTAATCAACTATCAGCTATTTTACCAAACACTTTTCAACAATCAACTAATGATATCAACTAGTCAAACACACTAACTCAATCGGCTACCAGCTATAATATTTACCAAACACCCCCTAAATCAAAAACTAACTCAAAATAAGCAATAACATTAGGAATCAGAGAAACTATTATTGTTATTTAAAAAATACAATACATGATCGATCATGGGACAAAATTCAATTTATAAGAGAAATATAATGTATGTACGTGTGTATGTATTTTTTTTTTTAAAGGAAAAACATAACTTTTGATGGAGTGTGAACCCCGTGGGCTCGGTGCCCAAGAAGAAAAGAGATCAAGCCCAGAAGAAGAAGAGAAGCCCAAGAATAGATATGAGCCAAACCGAGGGGTCGGCTTGACCCGGAGGTTGACACAGGTAGAAGGTCGGCCTAAACTAGCCGTTAGCCTCTTTATCAATTAAACCTCCTATTATAACCTCTCAACCCATTATTCCCCTCTACTATCAATAATGGCTTATTATGGCCTATTGACTACCTCATTTGACCACCTAACGGTTCTGATGGGGTGAGAACCCCGACCCAAGAAAAGAGGGCCCAAAGAGGAAAGACCAGAGAGAAGGATGGGCTGACACAAGGCGGGCCTGGAGAGTGCGTGGGCCGAGTCCAGGAGTCGGCCCAGGCCCAAATGGAAGGCCTAGGCCAGGGCTATGAAGGACGACCCAACCTGAGTATGGGCCGGAGACGAGGAGTCGGTCCGGGCCCAACCCAGGGAAAGACTCAGTGCAGAGAGCCGTTGAGGGAGCCTCCGAAGAAGTTAAGACGAGGAGCCGTTGAGGCATTAAAGGCCGGACTCGGTCCGCCGGTTACAAGCTAGAAAGAGCCGTTGGTAGACCCCGTAACGTCACTCAACGGCTCGGCACCTTGAAAGCAGCCTTGAAGTCGGCCATTATGGGCCTTTAAGTCAGTGAGGGAGGGGCCACTATAAAAGGGCTCCTCCACCCTTGTAAGAGGGAGGGGAAAAAAAGAAAAGAAAAAGGAAAGAGAACCGAGAAAGGGAATACAAAGTATTATTAGCATCGCATTTCATTGAAATTCGGACTTTCTGTGAAAGGTGTATCCTCCAGCTGAAAGGTTGTGTTGGACCTCCTTGGGCCCGAAAACCCAAAAACCATCACTGGCGCCGTCTGTGGGGATCGAAACAAAGAGTCGCGTGCCTTCTGAGCAAAGCGAGTCCAAGAGAACGTCGAGAAGAGCCCTAGTTGCGAGAAATCGAAAGGCTTTACCATGACAGGAAGCCAAGAGCAGTTGAGTCAACACGATAATGGGCTAGGAGCCGACCTAAGAGATCAGCTGAATCGAAGAAACGCCCGAAGCCGAGAAAACGACGCGACACCGCCGTCGACTCCGCGGATAAATCCACAACCAGCCGCGGTGCAGCTCACCCCGGATCAGCTACAAGCGATTGGACGCGCTTTCGCCGAGGCGAGCCGGGGAATACGGGAGCAATCCACTACTCGGATACCGCAACGAGACCCCCAACCGTCGCGAAGGCCAGACAATCGACAATCCACCCGCCGGGCTGAGAGTCAACCAGTCCAGTCCGTTCATTCTCGGTTTGGTCCGGATGTTGAACGACGGTCGGCGAGAGAACGGCTGGGACGAAGAGAACCCCTTCGCGCCCCGTTAGAAACTCACGGTCGACAGAGTGCGCGTGAGCGTAACCGTGCAAGGAAAGCCCGGACGGTGGCTCGCCGCTTAGAGCAGCCCGCCCACGACCATGATCGACCTGTCGAGTCAGAGGTCGGCGAGAGCACGGAATCGACAGGAAACCGCACCCAAGAGAGGATCGAGGTGGCAAATTTAGCCCAGGAAGTACGAAACCTAAAAGAACAGGTGGAAGGAAAAGCCAAGGCCCCTGGCCGAACGCTGCTGACCGCGTTACCCTTCTCGGCCGAGATCATGGCCTTCAAGATACCAGGCGACTTCAAGTTCCCGGAGCAAGCCACGTTCGACGGGTCGGGCGACCCGCGAGAACACCTACTGAGCTACCAAGCTAATATGCAAGTTTTAGGGGTACGGGACCCGGTCATGTGCCGCGCCTTCTTACCCACGCTAAAGGGCCTTCATGTGCGACGGCTGAGAGGAAGAAGCGGCGGCGGCACCGGTGGAACGCTGCGTCAAGCGACGCCTCATCTTTTCAGCTCTGTCCGCCATCTCTGGAGTCGGTGCAACGGCCTCGTCGGAGCTGGAGGAGTCAGAATCGTACGGACCTGCAAGAAAACCGCATAGTCGTGAGCGCTTCGGGTTAAAATAAAAAATAAAGAAGTAGGAGTGAGTTGAGAACGGGGTAAAAAAAAAAAAAAAAAAAAAGACGCTACCTATGGTGGCCGCGCCCTCCGGCATGAGGCCATGCTTGGCCATGGCCCGGACCCGGGACCAATACTTGACCGAGTACGGCCCCAGGCTCTTCAAGAACTCGCCGCCCTGGACAGCATCTTCCGTAAAGACGGCACGCCGAGAGCAAGGCTTGAAAAGAGTTGCCGGCCACAGGGTCGGAAAAGAGAAGGAAGAAGAGCGGGGCCGGACGAAAAAGTAAAGAGGCTTCCACTCTTTGATCGAGTCGGATAACCCCTCGAAAAGTTGCCGCCCCGGACGGGCGGCGACTTGAACGAAGCCAGGCGAGTGAGAGCCGACTTTGTTCACGGTAAAGAGGAACCGGAACAAGTCTAGATCCGGCTCGCACTGCCACCAATGGCAGAGGTTAATGAAGCTGGTAAGAAGGCGGTGCGAATTGGGCACTAACTGGCCCGGGACCAGGTTATAGTGCCGGAAAAGAAGTGAAAGAAATGGGTGAGGAGGCACTCGGAAGCCGAATGCGACCGAATGCAGGTGAATGCCCACAAAACCCTCCGGCGGGTTATGGATGGGCCGACCCTCCGCCGCGACAACCAGGGCCGAAGGGCCAAGCAAAAAACGGGCCATATCAAGGTCCGCTGCCGTGGCACTCGACGGGAGACCGGACGGCCTGACTATCGAGTCGAATTTGCTTCGCGGTCGTTCGACGCCGTCCGGCAGAGCCGCCACCGTGGTTAGTGGGGCTGGGCTCATCGGAGTGGCCGCCCCAGAGGAAGGAGGGGTTAGAAAAGAAGAAGAAGACACCGCTTGGAAGCCTGCCGGCATTTCCAAACGGCGGAAAACGGAGGAAGAAGAAGAGGACGACAGCGAGGTCCCCGCCGGATTGTCAAAAGACTGACGGCGGGTGGAAGAAGAATAAGAGGAGGAAGACATTACTTACAGATCTGAGTTGAGGCTGGGAAGACGATGAAAGAGCAAATAAGCTTGGGAGGAAACTTGAAGAAGAAGAATAGAGGAGATGAGCCATTTAAAGGAAAGGGGAAGCCCGGGAAGCCGCCACGCGGCGCCTCCTCAGTGGAGGAATCGGAGGCGACAAGACATCGAAAGGACGCCGCATTTAATGCCTCGATAGACGGGGCGACGGTTCAGGTCTAGGGCTAGCCTGCAAGCGGCGCGTCTACCCTAGACCGAGGCTGGATAGCTGTGACCCGGCCTGCTAAGCCGAAAGCCCATCAAGGCCGAAGCCATGGGGGCCCACCAAGATCATGCTGGAAGTTTCTAGAAAAGACCCGGCTGGGTCCGGCCAACTGAAGGGCCCGGACAAGTTTCTGGTCGCGAGGTCGGCCGATGGATTCGGCGAGTCCCTCGCCTAAGGGGATCAGTCGGACAAATTCTAAGAGCCGGTCATGATAATCGGGGGTCGGCCAAAAGACATGCGAAACCAAGAGTCGAACATAAAAACATGATTTTATTCCATGAAACAGGGAGTACAAGGCCGAGGACTCGGCCACACACACATTACAAGGAAAAGACGGGCCTAGGGCTGAGCTTCTTTCTCCTCCGCATGACGCACCGGCTGCGGACCCTCCAGGAAGTAGTGGGGACAGAAGGGCAAAGGACTCGGCTCAGGCTCGGGCTCGGGCAGTTCATCCAGATACACTGCGGGCTTCCCATCGACTATCATCCGCAGGGGCCTTTCCAGAGCACTCGGCGACATAGCTATGCCAAAAAGCGGAGGAGCCTCCCACTCTATGTCCTCCTCCGGTTCCGGGTCCTCCACCACAGGTTCCATCTCGGCGTCATCCGGCTCTACGATCATCAGGTCAAGCATGTCGGGAGGCACCACGATAGGGTCAGAGGTGGAGTCGCCCACCAGGTGCCCTCCATTAGCCGCCCTTTTCTGCCGGAGCTCCTCCAGCCGGGCGTGCTCCTTGTTGCGAATAGACCAGCGGCGATCACCGTCTCTGAAGCTCATGGCTTGAAGTTTTGAAATGAGGAATGATGAGAAACATAGAACCACCAAGAGCCCTTATATAGAGCCTCGAGGGGTCGATAACCCAGGCGCAAATCACGGAGGGAATCATAACTGACGTATGGGCGGTGCGAATCTCTGTCAGAGTTTAATCCCATCAAATTAGCTCGGGAAGGGCGAGATTCGCACGCTAGACTGAAAAGCCTGACTCACCCTGGGAGGCGGAATGCCTCACAGGTGTCAAACGAAGGGAGGACTCGACATGATGGCCGACTCCTCAACCATTCAGGCGGACGAGTGCACTAACAATACGAAAGAAGAAGCAGAATGCAAAGGGTGTTTTATTATAATAAGAGGAGGTGTAGGTTACATGGAGCTTATTACAGCGAGAGTAAGCAAATGCTCCTAGAAGACTACCCCCCTAGAATATAAGGCCAACCCCGGCCTACGTGATCACTCGCCCGGCGTAGAGGAGTCGCTCCCAAAGAACCCTCCCGATGGTCCAGGAGGGGATGGGCAAAGCAAGTCCCAGAAGGCCGGCATGAGTGGTGGCACGATCAGTTCTTCATCGTCCGGGTGCGTCTCCTGGTAGCGGACGTAATCTTCCTCGTTCATCAGCCCCGTAATTGGACCATCCAGGTCGTCCAGAGGGATGGAGAAGGTCATACGGAAGGTCAGTTGCTCCGGGACAGGTACATCAACGACGGTTCCACCCGGGGAAGTCACTCGAGCGATCGCCGGAGGGGGAGAAGGGCGAGAAGACGGAGCGGCTTCACGTCGAGCAGGAGTCGGCGGACGAAGAGCCGAAGAGGCAGCGCCAACAGGAGATCTTTGGGGGGCTGGACGAGGAGCCTTCTTCTTGGGCTCCCTTTCGGGCCGAGTCCGTTTTGAGGGCAACGGGCGCCAGGGCGACCCGAAGTCAATTCGTTTCCCTTTCAATGGTGAGCGACCCATGAGGAGTTAGTGAGTAAGGTGAAGAGCAGCTAAGGACATTTATAGGTGCCAGGCCAAGTCGAGCAGATTCGAACGGTCCCGCGAGATCCGGGAGATAGCGGATAATCTGGGCTATTCATGAGTCATTCAAGGCGTGGATGCGGTGAGCCGGATAAGGAGACGGTTACTACTTTTCCAAACCCAGGTTGGTGGACCGGGTGCGGAAAAGTGAGGGACTAGTTGATGGGGTGAGAACCCCGGCCCAAGAAAAGAGGGCCCAAAGAGGAAAGACCAGAGAGAAGGATGGGCTGACACAAGGCGGGCCTGGAGAGTGCGTGGGCCGAGTCCAGGAGTCGGCCCAGGCCCAAATGGAAGGCCTAGGCCAGGGCTATGAAGGACGACCCAACCTGAGCATGGGCCCGAGACGAGGAGTCGGTCCGGGCCCAACCCAGGGAAAGACTCAGTGCAGAGAGCCGTTGAGGGAGCCTCCGAAGAAGTTAAGACGAGGAGCCGTTGAGGCATTAAAGGCCGGACTCGGTCCGCCGGTTACAAGCTAGAAAGAGCCGTTGGTAGACCCCGTAACGTCACTCAACGGCTCGGCACCTTGAAAGCAGCCTTGAAGTCGGCCATTATGGGCCTTTAAGTCAGTGAGGGAGGGGCCACTATAAAAGGGCTCCTCCACCCTTGTAAGAGGGAGGGGAAAAAAAGAAAAGAAAAAGGAAAGAGAACCGAGAAAGGGAATACAAAGTATTATTAGCATCGCATTTCATTGAAATTCGGACTTTCTGTGAAAGGTGTATCCTCCAGCTGAAAGGTTGTGTTGGACCTCCTTGGGCCCGAAAACCCAAAAACCATCAGGTTCATATCACTATAAAAGAAGGTTCAAGAGCACAAGGAAAGGAGATCTCATTCATTCATCTACATGTGGGAGGACTCTCCCAAGTACTATCCTACCACTCACTATTCTTTCATTCCCAAGGAGGCTCCATCACTCTCCCAAAGAGAATGCACTATTCCACAACCACTCTCCACTCATCTAAGCAAAAAGACCACATGAAGAAGACTCCATATGAGAAGACTCCAACACTCTTCCATGCATGAAGAAGACTCCCTCTCAATGTGCAAAGTATAGCTCTTCCCCAACACAATATTTCTATATACAAAATAGCCATGCAACATGTACAAAGACACCTACAAAATACATAGTGAATTTAGGCTTGGCACCGCCCAAAAAGGCCCGTGGTTTTCACCTTTCGGTTTCCACGTACAAAAGCATTGAGTTATATTTGTTCTACTTATTTTTCTGCGGCTTAGGCCCAAAAACCAACAGCTTTTATTAAATCAAATGTTCAATACAATTCAGAATAGAAGTCAACCACCAACAACTTTTCCCTCACTTTGAGAGGTTGCTCCCACACTCCCGCTGGGTCATTCTTCCAAAGTTTCACCTCTATGACCAGTTGAGCTACCCATGCAGGCTATGTATTACTATTATTATTATTATTAATTGTTATTTTTGTTGTTGTTGGTGGTGTTGTTTTATTTAAACATGTTTGTTATTATTATCAATTAAAAAAAATAGTTAATAATAATAATTCAACATTAATAATATCTATTTAAAAAATAGAATACCTACAAGTTTGGGATGTAACAATATCGTTGATTTTCAACGGTATTCGTTTACGTAGGCGGAATTTGTTAGTCGGTCACATAATACCGTTGATTTTCAACCGTGTTTGCTTACTTTATCCGGGCTAGTTGGCAAGTCTATTGACCGTATTGATCAGTCTATTAGTTTAAAAACTTTTAGACACGCTAGTTAAATGGCTATTGATCTCGTTAGATAATCCTATTAGTTTAGAGTAATTTCAAAAATTCGGCGAGAAAATGAAATATTTTGTGAGTAAAATCAATAGCAAAGTGTAAATCTCTTGCATTTGAAAATTGTGAAATCCTAAACTAATCCAACTTAAACATGCAAGACTCATCTCAAATAAGATAATATAAGATCCATCATAATATTAACAAGAGAGCAAATGATACTTATGTTCCAACATAATACAGTTAATTACTCCATACATACTTTCTAAAGTACACAGAGATGCCATAGCTATTTGACCTCAAGTTAATTCTGCCTATTTGCAATATAGTAGGCGAGATGATACAGTGGTGCCGCTCTAGCAGCATCGAAGTAGCTGAGCTTGTTAATGGCCTTCTCCACCAACTCATCTGCAAATTTTCTGGCCTTCTCAACTCCCATCAGCTTCGGGTACGTCGCCTTCTCGCTGCTCAAATCCTTCCCGGCCGTCTTCCCCAGCTCCGACGACGACTTTGTGACGTCAAGAATATCATCCACCACCTGAAACAAAAGCCCAATGCACCTCGCGTAGCTCCTCAGCCTCTCCACATCCACCACGCTCCCTCCGCCGATAATGGCGCCGCACACGACTGAAGCCTCTAAAAGCTTTGAAGTCTTGTGGATATGAATGTACTCCAGCTCCTTTAAGTCCACCGTCTTCCCCTCGCTGCTCAGGTCCACAACCTGCCCCGCCACCAGCCCTTCCGACCCCACCGCCGCCGCCAGCTCAGCGATGGCGCGGAGGAGTCCGCGTGAGGCCACTTTCTCCGCCGTTTTCGCCGCCGTGTGTTCGAACGCGAGGGACAGGAGGGCGTCCCCGGCGAGAACGGCGATTTCTTCGCCGAAAACCTTGTGGTTTGTGGGCTTGCCGCGGCGGAGATCGTCGTTGTCCATGCAGGGGAGGTCGTCGTGGATGAGGGACATGGTGTGGATCATCTCCACCGCGCAGGCCATGGGGATCGCCGCCGCTTCGTCCCCTCCGACCAGCTCGCACGAGGCGATGCAGAGGATTGGCCGGACGCGTTTTCCTCCGGCCAGAAGTGAGTACCTCATCGCCTCGTGAATCTTGATTGGTTTCTTTAACGGCGCCGCCTCGTCTAGTGCTTTGTTAACCTTTATAGCTTTGGTTGCCATGTATTCTTCGAAGCGGAAAGCTGCCGGGAGCGCCATGGTTTCCGGCACCACCTTCGTTTCAGCTGATGCTTTCGCAACTTTGCTAGCCTGAATCTTCAGGGGACGACCAAGACTAACAGATTGGCTACATGGGTTTTTTGCAGATAACATAAGACGGTTGCTAAGATTTCTGGGAAACAATGAATGTTCTTGAGCGGGTATGTTAGCTAGAAATGCCATTGTGATTTGTGAAGTGCTGTGGCAGTGATCGATGACATTTATGTTTAGGTATACTTATACGGATGGGAAGATGCTGCTTCATTATGGTTGCACATGATTTCTGATTATTTTTTGCGGTGTAGTTTGGACTTTATTGAGTAACTATGTTTAGGTCTATTTATACGGTTGGAAAGATACTATTTCATTATCCTTGCACATGATTTCCGATTATTCTTTGCGGTGCAGTTTGGACTTTATTGAGTAACTATGTTTAAGTCTATTTATACGGATGGAAAGATGCTGTTTTATTATTGTTGAACATGATTTATGGTTATTCTCTGCGGTGCAGTTTGGACTTTATTGAGTAACTATGTTTAGGTCTATTTATACGGATGAAAAGATGCTGTTTTATTATTGTTGAACATGATTTATGGTTATTCTCTGCGGTGCAGTTTGGACTTTATTGAGTAACTATGTTTAGGTCTACTTATACGGATGGAAAGATGCTGCTTCATTATCGTTGCACATGATTTCTGGTTATTCCCTGCGGTGCAGTTTGGATTTTATTGAGTAATTTTTAGGCCTTTTCTAGGGTGCAGTTTGAACTTTATTGAATAAAACTTTGTTTGAGAAAGTTTGGACTTTATTGAGTAACTTTATTTGATAAAGTTTGTGTGAAGTCCTCACTATTAAATCTTAAGAGTGAGTGTATACTGTGTGAAGTCAGCTTAGTGATAAATCAAGAGTTAAAAGTTACTCTTAATGAGAATTGTAATATTTTTTTTTTTTTACCATAACATAGTTATCAAGGTTGGAACTTTCATCTTTTCTCTTACATACGGCCTACTAAACCACTTACATTACTATACGCTTTCTATATCAAGTATACGTGCATGATTAGGCAACGCCAAGATGGGGAATCAAGAATATATTGTACTTTGGAAAGAAGAATATATTGTACTTAGAAGAGATAAAGGAAATTGTGTGTGTCAATACCATGGCCTGCGAAGGGGACCTTTATGTCCTTGATTCCCTTTAGGAAACTCCCAAAATTCCTCAACTATGTTGCAATTAAATAAGGTTGGTAGTTACGTGCAATTAAATAAGGAATACCCAATTTTATTATTTTAATTTATTTTGTTTAAAATGATCATGTCGCCCACAATGATGTAATATTGTGATAATATTGATTGAATATATTGTTTAAATTTATGTTAAAATAATTGAATTATTTTCACGTGTGATCTCTCTTTACCTGCTCAACAAATTATGTCAACCCTTAGTAGATAAGACACGAATTTAAGATCTTACTTATACAAAGGAACAGTTATATCATCACACCACAAAGTATTTGTCTAGTCTCACTTTTAAATGCCATTGTGATCTATGAAGTGTTGTGGCAATACGTGATCGATTATCTTTATGTTTAGGTCTACTTATATGGATAGGAAGATGTTGTTTCGTTATCATTGCACATGATTTCTGGTTATTCTTTCCGGTGCAATTTGGACTTTATTGAGTAATTTTTAGGCGCTCATTGAATTATAAGCAAGGTTGCAAAACTCGGCCGCCTAGCCGCCTAGGCGCTAGGCGGCACCGAGCCTTAGAGTTTTGGCCTAAAGGCGGCCAACTCGGCCGAGTCGACCGATTTCGTCCAATTTTGACCGTTTTTGACCGATTTTGACCGATGTCGTCTTTCATTAATTATTGATTTTAATATTATTATGACATTATGACTTATAAATTATCATTATTTCATTTATTTAAATGTGTTATTTGAGTGAACGTTGAAAACAACCTCATTAAAATTGTCAAACTACAAGTCTGTAACTATTTTTTTTAATTTTTTTGGTGCCCGCCTAGCGCCGCCTAGAATCCGCCTAGGCGCCGCCTAGACCGCCTAGGCGCTAGGCGCTGCCCGACCGCCCGACTAGCGCCTAGCGCCTACTGCAACCATGATTATAAGAAAGTTTGTTGTCACTATTTGAAGTCAGCTCGATGATAACTCTATTTGTTTATTTTCAATACATAATGCTAGGTAAAGTAAAACGTAATTACCTAGTTTTTAAAATCAATTATATTTTTTTTATTACTTTTGGCATCTTTTGATACTATTTTTATTCTTTTAACATATCAATAATTTAGAAATAAAATCACAAAAAAAAAAAACAAAAAACAAAAAACAAAAAAACAATGAAACACTTATGCAAGTACACAATTTAATAAGAAAAAAAAAATGGATTACCTTGAAAGTTTGAGCTTGTACTTTATTCATTTTTGCTGCATATAAATTAATATTTGTTCTTTCAATATTCACAATGGAGGAGAATTGAGAAATTGAAAAGAATTGTGGAGAAAAACATGATGAGATTTGTGCATTTGGGAATTATGATTTTATAGATTTGATTTTTATTTAAATAATTATATTTTTGAATTTATATATATTGACTATCATTTTAAAAATTTAGTGGTGCAATTTTAAAATTTTGCAAATATATCAATATACTCCTTATATTGTTATTTTTATGTGGGATGGGTCAACATGAACCCAAAAATATAAAAATATAAAAATATAAAATATAATAAATTGGATAACGTAAATCGATATATAAATTTTTATGTGAAAATCATAAGAGAAGAATAACAAGTCTTTTTTTGATTATATCAAACCAAATCATTTTTATATCGACAACTTTTGTACACGTAAATTTGTATAGAGAGCTCTCAAACTAGGGTTAATTTCTATAGGATTCTAGAATAGAATGTAGAGAGATATTCAAAGAATTCAATGATAATGATCTTGATGAAAATGTACGTCAATCTAATTCCCCTCTTTGTCTATGACCAGGCTATTTATAGTGGAAGGGAGTTTGATGTGTATGGAAATAATCCCTCTTTATGGTAATTGGGTAATAATGGTATTGATGTGTTCAACTCCCGAATGCCCAAGTCAGTGCGTATTTCTTTGATTGTGAATTATAGAAGCATAGTCGGGTAGGTCTAGGTTGGTGAGCTTTCAAAAGTCTCCCTCAATTAGTACGTAATCAATGCGCCTTATATAGGTGAGTATGGAGACACATGCCAAAGATCTATTGACGGATCTACAATAGGGGCAGTGGGGGCAGCTGCCCCCCACTCCCTTAATAGATATTTATACGTACATATCACTAAGAAATGCAAATGCTCAATTGGATTGATCTTGAATATGACATGAAACTTCATGGCTTTGAATCCCATCAATAGCATCTCTTCCCACATTTTAATAAATTAAATGTTTTATTGAAGTCTTATGAATTATTTAGTTAATATTACACTTTATCTGATCCTATTCAAATTAATTTATAAAAATTTAAAGTTAATATTACACTTTATCTGATCCTATTCAAATTAATTTATAAAAATTTAAAGTTGATCTAGTAAAAAGAAAGTTAAAATTAAAGTATTTATGAATATAATGTCTTTTTTATTCATATTATTTTATCTAATTAATTATGTTTTATATTTTTATAACATTTCAAAGTGCGTGCTTTTGAATTTCACTCTACCCAAGTATAGTTGATAGTTTTGACTCCGCTCTAATTATCATGTAGTCTATCATAAACATTGTATTATTATTATAATATAATATATAATTTATAATATATTTGAACCATATTATCGGTGGTTGATATTTTGTCATTGACAATTTTAAAGTCATTTGAAATAAGTCCCCACTCACATAATTTTCTGGATCCGCCACTGCAAAGATCCGACATTTTCCCCACGTGGTGGATGTAGGTTGCCGGTCAGAGAGGCATTGCCAAGCGTTTGACGTAAAGGGGAAAAAGGTAGTCGGGACGTGATTAGACAAGTGTGTCCAGGGCTTCGTACTCAGTTAAACGGGCAGAGAAATAGCTAGTCCGCTTTCCCGTCTTAAATGTGAATATTTCAGTCAGCCTAACCGGGAATCAGAAAGTCTCGACAATTACATAGATTTGCCTGGTAAAGAGTCTATGTAGTCGGTCCCATCGTTTAGTTGGAAACTATGCATTATGCAGGATAATCATCATCTAATTTGTAATATATATATTTAACTTTATTATCTTCTAAAATTACTTTGATGGGGTTAATTTCATAGACTGAATCATTAATATATCGGGTTAAATTCATAGAATAGACCATTAATATATCTTCGAGATCATCATTGTTGTTGGGCTTATGCCATCATACAGAAGTAACAACAATTTTATAGCATTGTCAATTAATACCACTAATACCTATCTAGGTAGCTCAATCCCAAAGGTAAAGTGTTAAAAGTATAATATTGAGGATATTGTGTCACATAGAACTAGTTCAGTCGATTTAATCAATTATTCCTAACATTGTTCTAGCGTGAATGTGAATATTCGAATCCCACTAGAAACCAACATTATAATATAAGTGAAATTTATAATTAAAAAGTGCACCATCAAATATAACAAGTAAAAAATATTAAAATATAACAAAGATGAAATATTAATTTGGTAAGAAAGGTTCCTGGCTTACAGGGTCTTAACCCTAACCGATAGTAACGCTCAACCCAAACCAAATCAATTAATATTAACTTAACACCACCTCGTACAGTAGTTATGGTTCAACCCTGCCCCGCTTTTCATAGCCATGGACCCGACCCAAACCCTTAAATCTTCAACTGCTTCCAAGCTCCCCATCAAACGCAAAACGCCACCCAACTCTTTCACATCATCTGCCCCCGATTCTCCTCCCCCTGCCGTCGCCGCCGTGCACGGCGGATGTAACACCCAAGAACCCGCCCCTCCTCCCTTCAAGTTTCATCGGATATGGACCGAATCCGACGAGATCCGTTTCCTCCAGGGCCTTCTCGATTGCGCCGCCGAGAGCCTCGCCTTCCCGCGGGACCTCAACGTTTTCTACACTCGATTCTCCAGCACTATGTCGCAGCCCTATACCAAGTCCCAGCTCTCCGAGAAGCTCCGCCGTCTCCGTAAGAAGTTCCGGGTAATCTCCGCTCGCCTGGCCAAGGGCCATGATTGGTCACTTCTCTCCCCCCATGATCGGGCTCTCTACGATATCTCCAAGCGCCTTTGGCACCCGGATTTCGCCGCCACCTCGCCGTTTTGTTATAGCAGCGGCGCCGAGGGGCCGAGAAATTCCGGGGGCTTGGTCGGGGTGGCAGTCAGCTTCATGCCTTCATTGCCATCAGTCTTGGCCTCCAATCACTCTAACAATAACGCGAACGAGAAGGCTAATGATGAGATTGGGTTGGATGGGGATGTGAAGTTAAGAGAGGTGAATGTGGAGTTCGATGATGATGATGGGATAGTCGTCGGAAAAATGGCGAATTTGAGTGGTCTTAAACCTAATTGTGGGGTTGGGGAGGCCACTGCGAAAGTGGTAGTGGATGTGTTTGATGAGTGTCTGAAAGAGCTTAGGAAGGATCTTGTCGGAGAAAAATCGAATCTTGACGCCTCTTTTAAACAGGGGAATGTGGAGAGCTTTGAGGAGCGATGGCGGAAACAAAGGGTTGCAGAATTGGATGTTTTCTCGAAACGAATGAGGTTGGTGATAGATCATTCTCTTCATATGCAAATGCAATGAGTAAATATATATATATATATATATATATACCATTGTGGATAGGTTCCTTTTCTTTGTTATTTTCAGATTCCTTATAGTCATCAATATAAACAAAAACCACTGCTTTTTGTTTTGGAATTTTGTATATCTTATAGTAGAAAATCAAGATTGCTTGACTAGCTGTCTGCCTTGAAGAACAAATCATAAGTTAATCTACTTGATCTGATTGTTTAACTAGTTACTCTTAGGTAAACTCATAAATATCAAAATATGTGATTTATAGTGAAATTTACCTCAGAGATGGCCCTACCCAACCCATTGTTCCATACACATTGGTGTACAATGTACTTAAATGAGGTCGGTGATCTTACTCATTAGCTGTATAAGAAGCGGTCCGCACAGGTTTAGCTCAATGGTTCAGTAGACAGTATTTGAAAGAAGAGACCAATTTTCGAAACTCGGGTGGGTAGATCCCTTGTTCTCTGCAAAGCCATTGAGTCACTGTGATTTACATCATCTCAAATGCTCAGTAGGGGTTGGGGAATCAACCTTTTGGGAGAATCTGTATAAGAAGCAAATTGCATGGCACCATGACAGCCTGATAGGATAGTTCGCTTAGATATCAATAACCATGATGATTATAGTGAATATAATCAATTATTCAAATGGATGGTTGTTTTTGTGAACAAGGTTTTCAATATGCGTAACTGGAATCTTTCCATATTACTATGAAGGAGTTTACTGAAGGTTTGGTGTGATATATATATAGCTTGTTTCGTTTCACTTTTGATTATAGTGGTTGTTATTGATGCAATTCTGATTATGCTGGTGAAGTTGCAGCTTAATATTTACATTAAGAATCATGATGGAACTTAAACTTTCATATTAGTCCATGATGATAATATATGCTTGTATGGTGTTTGTTCAAAGGTATATTTTCAAAAAGTTGCAGAGAATACATTTGTTACTATTCGAGTTACTTGGATGTTAACAAGTTCTTCCATTTACTTCTGATGAAATACTTATGACTAGAAGATAAAACGGATGTATTCTCAGGCGACTTTTTGTTCGAATGGTGATGGCTGTATTTGTGTCCTTAGCCTATTAGCTCTCTTGTAACAGCTAAATGCCATCTTAGTACCCATTGTAATTGGCTCGCCCATAATCACCAAGAATCTTTGCTTCTTCCATTGCTCTGCCATTTACCTTTGTGATTATAATCTTGCACTTACCTTCAATTTATGTTGGAATTGTAGTACAATAAACACTGACATATTATACTTTCTTATATTTTCCTTTCATCATCTGTGTCCATTAGAGAAAAGAGAAGGAAAATTTTACTCCTCTTGATTGGAGATGTATTGCAGACAGTGTATCAGACTTAAAAGTTTGGACTGTTTTATTTTACTCCATTAGTTTTTTTTTTTTTTTTTTTTTTTTTTTTTTTTTTTTTTTTTTTTTTGGAGTGATAAGAAAAACCTTCAGTCCCTATTTGAGGGTATACACAAGATAAATCTTACCTTGTAACGCTAGCTGACAAAAGACTATAATAAGGTGAATCAGCTCTGGGCTTGTGTCAGAAATTGAACTTAGAATCTTGTGATTGGAGTAGTGTTTCCCAAAAAAAAAAAAAAGGTGATTAAGGTAGTCCACAACTCTAATTTAGAATCTTGTGATTGGAGGTAAATCTTACCTTGTAACCCTAGCCGAGTTATCGCTTGCTTCAAAGGACAATTTCAACTCCGAGTGATAAAGGTTTGGTGAGAGCCATGCGATCAAAGTGTAAAAGTGATCTAATCTCGCATTCATTACTCTAACTACTCTAATTTCACTGCTCTATTTTTTTTTATTTTTTTTTTTTTGAATGCTACTAACTTTATTACATTGTACTATCTGTTCAAATATATTTTCTTAATCTAATGAAGCACACAGAGTCAATAATACCTTCATTGAGGCTCGTTCTCATGACCTCCCACACAGAAGAGATCTTCCTGTGTACCAAAAAAAAAAAAAAAAAAAAATTAATATTAGATGTAGAGTTGTCAAAGTGGGTCAATAAGTGAGGCTTGTCAAAGCCCGCCATTTGGTGGGGTAGGCTAAAAAGCTTGCCACTCTGGCAGGCCTAAAAAAAGCCAACCGGCCCAGTCTTGCAGGCCATGGCATGGGTCTTCTAAATTGTTAAAATTTTAAGGAATAAGGTTCAAATTGGCCACTGAACGTAACCTGAAAATGCAATTAGGCCACTGAACGAAAAAAAGTGTAATTATGCCACTGAACACTCCAAAAATGTGCAATTTCACCTAATAGCAGGTTACCCTCAATTTTAGCAGGTTATCTGCTTACGTGGTAGCTGAGTTGACATTTTTAATAATTTTAAATCATTTTTAATAAATTTTAATAATAAATTTTTATTTTAAAAAAATTTTAAAAAATAAAAACGACTTTATTTTATTTTTTATTTATTTTTTTTTCAATTTTTTATAAAATTAATTATTAAAAATTATTAAAAATGCCAACTCAGCTGCCACGTAAGCAGGTAACCTGCTAAAATTGATGGTAATCTGCTATCCGGTGAAATTGCATACGTTTGGAGAGTTCATTGGCCTAATTGCACGTTTTTGGAGTGTTCAGTGGCCTAATTGCACTTTTTGTTCGTTCAGTAACCTAATTGCATTTTCAGGTTACGTTCAGTGGCCAATTTGAACCTTATTCCAAATTTTAAATTGAATTAAAAATTAATAATAATAAATTAATAAATGCATACTATAATAAATTCTATATCTATATAGTTTTAAAATATGTCAATGCATTTATAATTTATTAAACACAATATTAATTATTAATTAATAGAGTAATATGTCATAATAAATATTCAAATACATTATGCATTAATTTATAAGTTAATAACAAATTATTTATAGAACAACACATTGTGCTCAGATTGCACTTTTGTGGCTCCCTTTAAGGAAATGTTTTATTTTAATGGTTATAACTTCTAATTATGTGAATGCAATAGGTATATCATGGATAAGGATTCATCATGTCCTAATATATACATGCAATTAATATATTATATATTTGGAATTTATTTACAAATATATATTAGGTTAATTAAAAATAGGGAAAATGGCACTTTTTCCCCCTAAGTTATATACCTATAGCATTTTTTCCCCCTAAGTTATTGAAGTGGCTGTTTTTACCCCTGAAATGTTAAATGGACATATTTACCCTTAAACTAAATATTTAATTTATTTTTTACTCCAACAAATTATGACCATAATTTGGTTCAAACTAAACAAACACTATAGCAACCAAACCGAAATATTCCAATTACAATTTAGAATCGAAATTCGATATTTAGAGTTTATTAAAATCGTGAACCGGAACGGACGGTTCATGTTCCGAAAAAAAAATAAAATACATTTATTGTTGAATTTAGACTATTTTAAAATAAAAAATAAAATTTTAAAATAAAGACGGTTCAAAACCGCGAATCAGATCCGGAACCGCCGGTTCACGGTTCAAGATTCAATTTTTTGATACATAATTTTAATAAATTGACATTTAAATATTGGGTTCTAGATCTGAATTATAACCGTAAACTATTAATTCGATTGCTTTAGTATCCGGTTCAATTCAAATCAAACCGTGGTCATCCCTACGTATACGCAATAATTTGTTGGAGTAGTAAAATAAATAAAATGTTTACTTTAAGGGTATAAATGTCAATTTAATATATCAGGGGGGAAAAAGCACCACTTTTAGAATAATTGAGGGGGCTAATGTGCTTACCTAAATAATTGAGGGGGAAAAAGTGCTATAAGTATATAACTCAGGGGTAAAAAGTGTCATTTTCTCTTAAAAATATGTAATATGTTAACAAGAGCTATATAATATCAACTACACAATTATATTGTGGCGAGTTATATAATATCAACTAAAAAAAAAAAAGTACAAAAGATTGCCATAGCAGCAACAGCCTTTTATCAAGGTTACAAACTTGCAACCCAGGTAATCATAATTTAAAAAAAAAAAAAAAAAAAAAACTTTTCTTTTCACATAAACTCCGTGTCATCTAGCAATTGCTCATCTTTCAGCGATAAAATCCAGCTTAATTGGCGTTCATTTTTATAAGGAATCTATTAGACCAAATTGGCCTATTTTGATTCCTTTTGTAGGCTGGCGGTCACTGGTCAGAGCCCAAGTGGTCCACCACGTCATCAATCCTCGCGAACCAAAAATGATCGATCACCAACCGTCCCCTTGCAAGCCTTCCCGCAATTCTGAACCGTCCATTTTTCCCCTTTTTTTTTTTAAAAAAATTTTCAGATAAGCCATCTCCCACTCGCACATCAATTTTTGCTGTACTTTTCAAGCTGACACTCCTCTCTCTGTGGGGACTCCTCAAAAGCCTTCTTCGTCTTCCTCCTCCTCTCTCTCTCTCTCTCTGCGCGCAGGAAGTTTCTCCATGGCGTCTGAACGCGTCAACAAGCCTCCATCGCACCCTGAATACCCAGAGGTATATATATATATATATATATATATATATATATATATATATATATATATATATATATCACACCCAAACTTAAATTTACTGCTCTTAAGCTTTCATTTTCCTTGTTTCCATCCTCTCTCTCTCTCTCTCTCTCTCTCTCTCTATGCACTGAATCATCTTCCACTATTCTATTCTCTTTCAAAGATAGACATTTTTGGTATGAAATATGCAAGCTGAGGAGATTTTGTTGGAACCCCATTTCAAGATTTCATCTTCTTCTTTTTTTTTTTCACCGATTTTCTTCAATTTTCGTGTAATTTACAGAAAAAAGTTTCAATCTTGGTGTTGCTATTTTGTGTTCGATAAAACTTAAATTGCTGTAATTAGGGTTTTAAATTGTAATCTAGTGAAATATGGATTTCACTCCTCAAGATTTTTTTTTTTTAAATGATAAAAAAAAAATGATAGAAACCACTTTCTCAGTCTTCTCAACAACTAATTCTATCTGTTTCAGCTTTAACTGCTCTCATGTGCCATGTGAACAAGAATGCTTTTTCTTTTTCAGATCTGTAAAATTTTCAAATTTCAACTGGAAAAGAATAAATTTTGATTCAGCTTTTTGGTGGGTGATTTTTTTTGTTTGTTTGTTCAGATGATAATTGAAGCTATTGATGCACTGAACCAAGAAGAAGGATCAAACAAGACATCAATATCAAGATACATAGAATCCAAGTATGGAGAATTGCCTTCTGCTCACTCAAAGCTGCTAACTTTCCACTTGGACAGAATGAAGCAGAGCGGTGAACTGATTTTCTTGAAGAACAATTACATCAAGGCAGGCCCAGGTGTTCCCCCTAAGCGTGGGCGTGGCCGGCCAAGAAAAGACCCCAACGCGCCACCAGTCCCCAAGAAGCCCAAGCCTTCTCCCGGCCCTTCCACACTCACCCTCTCCAAAACCGGCAGGCCCCGGGGCCGCCCGAGGAAGGTGAAGCCACAGCCACCCTCACCCCAGAATGGCTTTGAAATGAGCTAGCTAGCTGAGTTTGAAGCTAAGGTCCATTCATCTCTAAACCTGATTATGATGTTCATCGCTTTAATTTGTCGTGCTTTAATTGTAGGAATGGAATGGTGTCTGTGTGTACGTGTTTAAGTTATTAGAGTTGGATCGATGTAGATTAGGCGTCATGTTGATGTACTTCACCTCACCGGAGAAATCCAATCCCCCCCAATTGTCTGTGATTCCGCCATTTTCACTCTCTTTGCATTGTCTCTATATCTTCATCTTTACCATTGCATTCTGGAGGGTCGAGTTCAGCATTCTGCCATGGAATCGTGGCGTTATGGGTTACCTTCACTTACTTATCAATAGTTGCCCGTTGGTTTTAAGAAAGATGTGAGAATCAGATAACCAAAGAACTCTGTGATTAAGTCTCAATGTTGAGATTCAACACATTCCATTAGATTTAAGCTTTCAACCACTATTCATGGTGGTTTTAGGGTTGATGGAGGGAGGTGATGTTGACATGATAGTGAGCGTGGGTGAGTGAGTGGAGCTGAGTAGTTGAGCTACTTGTTGTTGGTTACTGAAAAGGTTGGCAAGAAAAGATCAGAGTAGGGATAAGAAATCAATAGTGAGAATTGATGACAGCTTTCTTAGCATGGACAAGATCAAACATCCTAAGTACGAAATAGATTGTGTGTTTTACTGTTTCTTTTATCTTCAAATTCCGCAATCATGTCTTTGTCGAAGGGGACTAAGGCCCCACTTTGATAGGAATCTTGATTTCGTGAGGACTCACTGGTGGTAGCAGGAGATTATTGGAATCTTCTTCTGCGCAGAGAATGAAGTGTAAATGGATAATTTGGTTGATATTATCCGGATTAGACCTAGGAGAGGAGGATAAGGATATGTGTTGTTTGGACCACCTCGAAGAATTAGGTCAAAAACACAGTACATTTGTTGCTGTCAGCTACCTCAAAATATCAGAGAAATTTATGTTGGATTTTGACTTTCTCAAAGCTTGAATAACCACCCCAGCCATGTTTAGCATGTTCGATTTCATTTTACGATTCCTCCAAACCTTGATTTCTCAGCACGGGCTTAGTTTATTGGTTCAGTAGGTACTATTTAGAAGAAGAGACTAAGGGTCAAACTTCGGCAGTGGCAGTGTAAGAATTATATTTCAATGTTTGTGCGATTAGTGTCCAAAGTGGAGTAGTAGACAGATCCCTCTGCGTACCGGCATTTGACCATGTCTGCTAAGCTATTGAGTTATTGTGATTTACATCTTCTCAAATGCTCTGAAGTTTGGGTCTGGAAGGATTTTAGGGTTGAGAATTTAACTTTTTGAGAGCATATTTCTTGATAATGGGAATCTTTAAAAAGAGCACAAAAGTTAATTTGGACATTATGACGTAATTGTAATATAATGCTGGTGTTAATGGTTTATAAAGTGCAATTATAATCCGATAGAGAGTGCATGCACTATTTATTACACATTCCATACTTTTGAACGCTGGGTTTGGACCACATTGCCACTTTACTCTTCTTCCGTTCATCACTACCCGCGGTTTAGTGTGTTACATTAATCAATTGTTTCATACCTCATTAAAAAAAGATTTTGATTCATAAGCTTTTATTATGCAATATAATAAAAAAATTCTATTGCTTAAATTTTAAGCATGGATTTTTACTCTTTTATACATTATCCCTTTAGAATGTCTAACTATTTATGCTTGAGCCATTCTTTAATAAGTTCAGAAAGTTCAATTTATTCTGATAAGTTCATTATATTAGAATAATTTGGTGTTGGAGTTATTATTCATGCCCTATTAGGTATAACTTAATGGGTTTCTGTATACTTGATCATTTGGGATTAGGTTAGGCATTCGATATTTCAAATGACAAATCATCTCCAATCTTCTTGATTCGAATCACAAAGACAAAATAGGCTTATCGTAGGCTAGAGCTAGGTATTACTTGTAGTATCAACATGTCTAATTTGTACTGACTTGATCTTAACTAGTCAATTATCTTGTTATGTACTAATCGGCTTGTCTTTGTATAAAAGAAAAAACTTGGAGTAATACTTAATATACACTCATGCTCCTGAAATTCTATATGTACTCTTAATTTTTATTTCCGCACTCATGCTTTTGGTATGGCCCACATGATAATAATGTTTTATCATAGCTTGTCATGTAAGGAAGTAAGTATTAATGTATTATAGTATACAAGGTTGCAAAAATCGCTAGGCATATATTCTTTGGACTTTTTTTTTTTTTAATTTAAAAGATTTATAAAAAAAAAAAAAACATTTACTAAAGATTTGGTAATAACGAACTATTTAATACTTTAATAGTAAATATTAACCTAAAAACATATAGAATTGTAAATTGTATAAAGATTTAAAGAATCAAAACACAACACAAAGTCACAACTCTATTAATATTAGAGTACCTGATTTTGAATTTTTTTTTATTGCATTTTTAGGTTTGCGACCAATTTGAACAATTTAAGATTATTTCACTAAAAAAAAAAAAAACTAATCGGCAACCTAAACGCCCGTCTAGGCCACCTAGACTACCGCCTAATCTGTTGCAACCTGGTTGGCGCTAGCCGAAATTATAGGCAACCGACTACCGCATAGCGTCTGGGTGCAATTTTTTCAACATTGATAATATATATAGAACATGCATAATATCATTAGTATGTATAGGCGTATAGCTTACCATACTCATCTTATTCAAACCGGCAAGGGAAACAAAATCATTAAATCAAACAACACGAAAAGTAAGGGCAAAAAAAAAAAAAACATCTTCTGCATTAACATTAAACAGCTCGCTCCATGCATGGAAAAAATCTTCCCGAATGGCAGTTAGCGGCGCCGCCTCTGATCTCCAGGTTAGGCGTTTTCGATTGGTTTAGGTTCTACATCATCATCGTCCTCTTTCTGCTCATCTGATTTACACAAATAATTGGCTATGGCTGCGAGGATGCATACGGCCGCAATCATGCCGATAATGGTCCAACATTGTGGCCATAAAGACTTAGGGTGTGTTTGGTTCGCACATCGGAATCGGAATGGGTATCAAATACTTGGTAATGGTAATGGATTTTGGTGAAAGTATTTAACATGTTTGGTAGTAAGGTGGAATGAGAATGGTTACTAATAGTAGTGCTTGAAAATGAATAAGGGAATGAAACCCTTATTGTATTTGGGTATGGGTTTTTTCAATTGATGGGGTATTCGAAACCTATAGTAGTGTTCTAAAAACCTATCAACCAAACAACAACAATCACTTTCATACTCATTCCTATGGGCAAAACCCACCAACCAAACACACCCTTAATCCAGTGGAATAAGGAAATAAGGAAACTGATTGCAACGGATTCATTGGACTTCGATCCAGGATGTTAATTTAGTTGTTTAATTGTCTTCTCAACTCTTCTCTTCATTTATTTATAGATGTAACTAAGGATGTTAATTTACGTTTGAAGAGTGGTTAATTAAGAAACTACCTAATTACAAGAACGCAGAGTTAATTACCTAATTGCATGAATAGGAACACGTACGAGGTCTTTGATTTTTAGCAATTTCCTAATTAATAATGGCCTCTCTTTTTGGTATAATGGCCACTCTCTACAAATATACCAAGATTTTTTATTTTATTACCTAAAATAAAATTACCATTTAAAAGCTTTCTGCAAGCATTATTATATTATAAGAAAAAGCTTATACTATGGGATATGAGGTCGTCAGGGAGCTTTATAGTGTATTTATTATGAGCAAAAATGATTAAGAAATTAAACAATTTAGTTTTATTCAACATGGTAATGTCAATATTCTTGGTTGGGATAAGATTTAAGTCTTGAAACACTCTGTTTAGAATAGTAACCGGCCTTCTATTTAGAATGATAACATTACAGCAGACGTTTTTCTACTAACTTTAAGTTGTTAGAATGCGTGGAATAGAGCAGAAATGTACGGAGGGATTAATAGTGGTTGTGTAGGATAACATTGAATTGGACTTTGGAAAAATTAAAGAAACGTACATTGTAATATAATATTATAGGCGGTGGCATGCATGCGTGTACCCACTGAAGTTGTTGGGGTGCAATAATGGATGCCATGTGAAATGAATACACAATTTCACCATTCCAGATTGGGTTTGATTTCAGTGCCGCTTTGTAAATCCAAGTTTGACAAATATTGCTTTTATATAATCTACTATCTACTATATATACTAATAAGAGCCCAAGAGAGTTAGGCCTATAATGGGTAGAAAAAATAGCGGTCAAATTATTTAATCAAATGAATGGCTCAGATTGATCAGATTTTAATTTTTTCTTAAGATTTACTAATTTATCCTTAATGAATATGATTTTCCGTTAACTTTTCCGTTAAATATTATATTTTCCGTTAATTTCCGTTAGTTCACCGTTAACTTACTCATTGATTTCAATAAGAAAGGTCTTAGGCTCGAACCTCATCCCAATCACAGTTGACATAATTAGTACTCTATTTTACTCTTATTAAATTAAATAATAATTTAGTAGCTACAACAAAAAATAATACATATGCATTTCTTTAATTTAGAATTATGTGTCTACAATGTCTTTATTCAAAAAAAAATTATTCATTATCAATAAATTAAATAAGAAAATAATTTCATTAGTTATATTGTATTTATTTTTCTCCAATATAAAAATTCCTTACATTCAAATTCATCAATTGATTATATTTGCTACATTGTCCCTACAATGTCTTTATTAAAAAAAATTATTCATTATCAATAAATTAATTAAGAGAAATAATTTTATTAGTTATATTGTCTTTATATTTCTCCAATTTAAAAATTTTTTACATTCAAATTCATCAATTGATTATATTCACTACATTGTCTATTATCTTTTTTTTTTGTACACTATTTTTAATTAAATATCAAAGTTATAATACAAAATAATGCTATATATTTATTTAACAAGTATTTTATTAATACCATGAAAAAATATATAATTAATAAAAAGCCAATCGTATTAACTACTTGAGGGATTTGTTGACAAAAAGAGTATTCAAATCACACAATAAATTGAAGTGAGAATTACCTCGCAATGTCCTTGTTTGACAATCAGCAGTTAGCGGTTAGCGTTAGCGTTAGCGGATTATATTAGCGAATTTGACCAGTGAATTACATCAACGGTTGGTAAAAAGATATTTGAAAAATTAGCTGTTTAGATTAACATGTAAAATGACCTAAGGGTATACATAATAATAATAATAATAATAATAATAATAATAATAATAATAATAATAATAATAATAATAATAATAATTGTTTTAGAAAAATAAAAAAATAAAAAAATATAATTAATTCAATCATATTAACTACTTGAAGGATTTATTGACATAAAGAGTATTCAAATCACACAACAAATTGAAGTGGGAAACTATCTCGCAATGTTCTTGTTTGACAATCAGTAGTTAGCTCTTCAATATTAGTATATATTTAATATTTTATACCCTAATTTTTATTTGCTCTCCCTTATGTCCCGTATTTAGTTTCAACCATACCTATACAATTATTTTATTGACAATTATAATCAATCTTGACTATATTATCTTGCATTTGTAAACTTAGAATTGCCTATTTAAATACGCAAATTTTACATTCAATTATCTATGCATTAACAATTCCAATATAATCTTGCATTGGTATACTTTAAAGTACTTATTTAAAAGAAAAACATTGGGCATTATCCCAATCGCGCAATGCGCGTAAAAAAACTAGTAATAATATAATAATCCACAAACCGAATACTCTCCAGAGATTTGTGGATGCTTTTAGTAGCTACGGGCTTTTGGACCCTGGGCATTCTGGCCCAAAGTTTACGTGGTACCGTTTTGCAGGGAATAGAGCTATTCAAATGCGTAGATTGGACAGAGTCCTTTGGAACGTCAAGGCCCAGCAAGCGTTCCCTGAAGGTAAAACGCTGGTCCTCCCCAGGCTCCACTCTGATCACAGCCCCTTGTTGTTTCTTGAGCAAGCGGGCAAACCACCAGAAATGGAGCACCGTCCTGTCCGTTTTGAGGCGGCTTGGTTAACAAGGAATGACTATAGTAAGATTTGGAAAGACGCTACCAAGTCAGGGGGTATGAGCATTGAGACTATCATAGCTTCTGTCACCAAGGAGAGCCTTCTGTGGAACCACAAAGTCTTCGGCAATATCTTTAATAGAAAGAGACGGCTGGAAGATAGAATTCGTGGGATCCAAATGGCAAGCACTTATCATACTTCAAGATTCCTACAGAACCTTGAGAGAAATCTCACTTATGAACTCAATGAAACTCTTGATCAAGAGGAGGCTCTTTGGTTCCAGAAATCTAGAGTTGACTGGATTAAAGATGGTGACAGGAATACTAAGTTCTACCATAATGCAGCTCTGATTAGAAGAAATAAAAACCGGATCAGATTTCTGAAAATTCAAGGTGATTGGACTGACAACCCGACTGCCCTTTCTGATCATATCACTGGTTTTTTCTCTTCTCTTTTTTGCAGGCAAAGCCCCGTTGTATCGTCTCCTTTCACCCCTGTTGGAGCTTCTAACCGGCTTACCAGGTTGGAGGCTCTAAACCTTTCACGGAGAGCCCTGTTTGGTGAGGTGAAGATAGCTGTCTTTGGCTTAAAGAAATTCAGTAGCCCGGGGCCAGATGGGATACCGGCGGCCTTCTATCAATTTTTCTGGGATGATGTGGGACCTGCTCTCACCTCGATGGTGAATCAAGCTCTCACCACGGGGGAAGTTCATAAATCCCTTACTCAAGCTCTAATGACCCTTATCCCTAAGAAGGAGACCCCGGATTCAGCAGCGGATTTCAGACCAATCACCCTGCTAAACGTGGCATTCAAGGTAATCTCGAAAACTATCGTCAACAGAATGAGACCTATTATGTGCAGGTTAATCGGTCCCCATCAAAATAGCTTTCTCCCTGGGCGGTCTACGTTGGATAACATTGTACTTACGCAAGAGGTGATCCACACTATGAATAAAAAGAGGGGAAATAAAGGCTTCATGGTGGTTAAAGTGGACCTTCACAAAGCCTATGACACCGTAGATTGGGGGTTCCTTGAGAACACTCTTGAAGGCTTTGGTTTCCCGAGGAGGATCATTAACCTTATCCTTTTCTATCTTAAAGAAAGTGAAATTTCCATCTTGTGGAATGGTGGCCGCCTTAGTCCCTTCACACCAGGAAGGGGTCTCCGCCAGGGCGACCCGCTGGCTCCTTACCTCTTCAACCTCATCATGGAAAGACTGGCCTACGAGATCCAAAGTTCTATTTCCTCGGGGGACTGGAAACCTTTACATATCACTCGGGGAGGAATGGGGCTCTCCCACCTTTTCTTCGCCGACGACCTCTTACTCTTTGGTGAAGCTTCCGAAGAGCAAGCCATGATAATTATGGGCTGCCTTGAACGCTTCAGCTCTGTTTCAGGGCTTAAGGTAAACCTCTCGAAATCCCAGATTTTCTGCTCTCCTAACACTCATGCAGGTTTGAAGAAAAACATTGGCGAAAGGATGAGAATCCCCGTGATGGCCCACCTTGGCAACTACCTGGGTATCCCTATGCTCCAGAAACGGGTTTCCAAAGACACCTTCACCTCTGTCCTCGACAAAATGAGAAGGAAACTCGCTAACTGGAAAGCATGCAATCTCAGCTTGGCAGGAAGAAGGATACTAGTCCAATACTCCCTGGCTACGGTTCCAACGTACACCATGCAATCCATGGCGCTTCCGGTAAGCACTTGTAATGATATTGACAGGATTTGCAGGAACTTCCTATGGGGGCACACGGAGGATACAAAGAAGATCCACACGGTGGGTTGGGAGGAGATATGCAAGTCGAGAGATGAAGGGGGTCTTGGCCTCAGAAAGGCCAGAGATTTCAACCTTGCTTTCCTGACTAAGTTGGCATGGCAAGTCTTGACTAATCCTGATAAACTTTGGGTCAAGGTCATGCGTGAGAAATATGTGAAAGATGGAGACTTCCTGTCCATCGCTAACGTCAACAATTGCTCTTGGGGTTGGCGTAGCATCCTAAAGGGAAGGAACATTCTTAATGATGGCATCCGGTGGAGAGTAGGTACAGGATCGTCCATCAGCTTCTGGCATGATCGTTGGGTCGGAGATAAATCCCTCGCGGACATGAACACCGACCCCCTTCCGGCAGACAGCCACGATATACTGGTGAAGGACATCATGAACAACGGTAACTCCTGGAATGAAACAATTCTCGAATCCCTTGTTCCGACTGAGATGGTGAACCGTATTCGGGCAATTCCCATCCCAATTGCTGATGACCAGAACGACAGACTTTTTTGGCCTCATTCCGGGACGGGGTTGGCCACGGTAAGTTCGGCTTTTTCTTTCATTACAGGTACAGGTGATGACACTCCCACCCACGACTGGATTTGGCGACTCAAATGCAAGGAGAAGATCAAACTTTTCATCTGGAAAATCTCCAAAAATGGCCTCCTTGTGAACTCTGAACGAAAAAGGCGTGGAATGACAGACGACGATACCTGCCCGAGATGCGGCCATGGCGAGGAATCCTTGGATCACCTTTTCAGACAATGTAACATGTCTAAAAGTTGCTGGAACCTCACTGCTCCACCCCCTAATTTCATCGCCAGCAATCACCTCCCCCTTCTGCGTTGGATGGAGCAGGCTTGCACGACAGACAGAAGCAGTACGGCAGGAAATAAATGGCATCTTATCTTCCCCCATTTGTTATGGAATATCTGGAAGATGAGAAATGAGGTGGTTTTCAACAACAGATGGAAATCGGCAGAGGACACGCTGAAACAGGCTCAATATGAAGCTAACGAAGACATCAACGCTCTCATGAAACATAATGGCCTCGTGGTGGCTAAACAGATTTGGGTGCAATGGTCCCCGCCACGACCGGGCGTAATGAAAGTTAATTCGGATGGGGCCATGAGATCCTCCTCTGGCATCGCTAGTGCGGGGGGCCTTATACGAAACCATTGTGGTACTTGGGTGGCGGGCTACACGGTGAATATTGGTTGCACCACCAGCTTTATTGCTGAGCTATGGGGAATGCGGGAAGGCCTTCGTCTTGCCAAACATCATGGCTTTAATAATATTATGGCAGAAACGAACTCAATGGCAGTGATGCAAGTTCTCAACAACAACACCGACACTTGCCTAGAAACAAATACTCTGATCATGGACTGCAAGACTCTCTTACATAGCTTTCCTATCTTTGAGATTACACATGTGCTTCGGGAAGGAAATCAATGTGCTGACTTCCTCGCCAACTTGGGACAAAATTCTCCTTGGGGTACTACTATCGTCCCGAACCCTCCTCAAGAGATGGCGCCGCTACTTGCTCGTGACGCTAACGGAGTGGCTGCTAGAAGACTTTTTTAATCTCCTCGGGGCCTTTGGCCCCTTCTCCCTACCAAAAAAAAAAAAATAATAATCCACAAACCATTAAAAAAAAAGTTGGTAAAAATTTTAAATTTATAAAGTAAAAGGACGTTGAATTTTTCAAATCGGGGAAAATAGTTTTTGGGCCGAAACTGCCAAATACTGGTTTATAAACAGCCCGTCAGAATCTAAACTGAAATTGATTTGAGCCCAAAGGAGAGTGGCCCAAGTCCACGTTGACTTGACTCGGGCGAGTCGTCGGCAACGCCAACACGGCAAAATATATACCGAGCCCGATCTATAAAAAGGTTTATTCTCCTCCCTTCTCCATCAACACCGCCTCTGTCCTGCAGAAAAGCCCTAATCACTCCCTCTTTTTCCAATCCCACCAAAATTCCTCCTCTTTCGTATCTCTAGATCAAACGATATATAGATCCATCCATCATCTATACCCAAATCGCTCCCTCTCCATAATTTTCCGTTCCATCATTACAGATTTCTTCGATTGCTCGCAGATTTAGGTAAAAATTTATGTTTACGTTTGTTTTTTTAATGCCCTAACGGTTTTGCTTTATGTCGATTAGCCTTTTCTATTGTGTTTCGCTCTTTTAGATCATGTTTGGCTGTTTAGGTTTTTTTTTGTTTTGTTTTTTTGTTCCCTTCCTTGCATCTATGTTTTTGATGTTATTGAAAGTATTTAGAAAAAGAGACGGAATTTCTCCAAGGCATAGTGATATTGATGCACGCGAGTGAATTTTTGTTGCGTATCCGAAACGTTATCTTCTCATGCTTCTGCCTTACTGTTTCTGTATTTCTAGATCTCGCTTGTAAATCTCTAGCTTTTGTTCCTGTTTCTAAATATTTGTACTGTATGTATCTATCTTTGATGTGTGCTTGTGTTAATATAGCACTTTGCTCCTCTAAATGATTGAAATATTAAGTTTTCATTCTATTCTGAGTTGATACAGTTCTTATGACCAATTTGTGCTGACAATTTCGTTTTTTTTTTGTTCTTTACAGATTCGTTATTTGAGCTTAGGTGATTTTTGTCTTTGTCTGTGTTCTTGATGGCTTCTCTGGATATGACACTTGATGATATGATTAAGAGCAGACGTAATAGTGAGAGAGGTAGGGGACGTGGCAGGCCCCGACGTGGAAGGGGGGCTGGTGGATCATTTAGAGGTGGAAGACCCGCTGGAGCTCCTCGTAGTGGAGGGCACCTTGGGGTGAATGCTAGGCCATCAGCTCACGTCATTGCCAAGGCAAGCTCGAAACTACTGGATGTCTTATGAATTCCATAATCATTCTGATATGCTCTTTAAAACAAAATGAAGGTTCTCTCTAGTTTTGCTTTAGAAATTCCATCATGAGAAGTTCTGTGACATTATTGGGTCCGAGGAGGTGCCCAATTTGGATCAACCATAATAAGCTGTTGTGCAATTGTTCCACCGTCATCAAGGTCTCTCTTCATGTTGGTTTATCATGAGGAGTTTACAACAAAAGTATTCATAAAAGTGGGAGTGATGGCTTTATCAAGAGATTTCACTTTATAGTACCTTAATATTGAGGAGCTTCATTATTGAAATTTTAAGAACTTTCACCATTTAAACATCCTTAACATCTAGAGGGCTACATCCTAACATCTAGAGGGCTGACTTTCTAAGTGATCTCTAAACGTTATTATTCAGTAGCAAGTTTATGATGGATCCTGTTGCTATATGCCGAATTTCTACGGGTCGTGGTTTTCAGTTAGTATCCCAGTTCATGGTGTTTCGCAAAGGTGGCTTCCTTCGCTGAACCTCAGAACTGGAGGTCTTGCATTTTGCATAACCACCAGTTGATGTGCAATTGTGCAGTGGGTCAAATCTTCAACTCCCATCTACACTTCTTTTACCGTAGTTGATTTATCTTTGGTAAAAATTACTATGTTGATGTTTTGGTTTATTCCACTTCCACTGTGATGGAAATTTGGTGATATCTGATTTATTCTAGAAGAATGGTGAATTATGTTACAGTTTCGTAGTATGCTGATTCTACTTACCCAATGTGGATGTCATTTTGGGTTTGCTTGCTTCAGTCTTTCCGCAGAACAAAGAATTTGCCATGGCAGAATGGATTATTTGAAGATAGCCTTAGAGCTGCTGGGTTATCATCTGGATTAGAAAGTGGGTCTAAGTTATATGTTTCAAACTTGGACGTTGGAGTGACTAATGAAGATATAAGGGTACAACACAAGCCATGTCTTTTTACATACTCCCATTCATGATAGTTAATGTTCAGAGGGTTTGATGATAGTGAAACTTTAAACACAGGAACTCTTTTCTGAGATTGGAGAATTGATAAGATATGCAATTCACTATGACAAGAATGGGCGCCCAAGTGTAAGTGTCATATCTCATGTCATATAGTTCTTATTGTTTTGCTTTTATTATCCTTTTACCAGTTCAATTTGACAACTCAGCTTCAGTTTGTGGCTTTTTTTGGGTGTTTCACATTATTGTGATCTGTAGAAAAAGACTGGGCTTTTCTTTTATAAGTTTTCCATTGCATGCTCTTAATATCTTCAGAAATATAGTTTCTTTCTTATTGAATATTTGTTTCTAGATATATTTATGTATTTTGGTATTTTCACATTGCATTTAGTTCACTTTTTTGCACCTTGGCTGTTTAGTTGTAAAGTTATATAACATGGAACACAGTGCATACGTATAGTTATATCTAGTGATTTTTTTTAGTCTAGATATTAATATATTATTACACATAACACATGGAACTTTGATATGTCAATGTATTTGTTTTCATTCAAATGTTTTACCCCGTAAGTTGAGCTGAATGATAGTTAATTTCACTTGTTTATAATTACTTATGCTGAAATTTTAACCCTGAATTAAACTGGATGGTTAGTATGCATGTAGCTAAGTTGTATGCTTTATGTTATTTTATATTTACTAGTTTTCCTACAATGTGTCATTTTCCCGGTTCTGTTTTTTTTTTTTTTAACTTGGTTGATATTTTATTGTTTCTGGCTTTTTACAGGGTTCAGCTGAGGTGGTTTTTGCACGAAGAACTGATGCATTCCAAGCACTGAAAAGATACAACAATGTGCAGTTAGATGGGAGGCCTATGAAGATTGAAATAGTTGGCACCAATTCACAAATTCCTATGTTGGCTCGTGTTAATGTTGTTGGAGGGACTAATGGGAGGAGGACAGTCATTATGAAGTATGCACTGATCGTCTGTTCTTTTTTCCCATTATATTTTCAGTTTGTCCTTTGTTTATTCTTTGTTTTCCAAGTCTGCCCACCAGCACCCTAAATGAGGGAGGGATTACATGCTTTAATTGGGCATTGCATACCATCTGGTAGTGAATGCTAACTTTGTTGGCCACAATAGGAGTTTGATATCTCTGAATATTGAGAACTATGATATCCATGGCCGGTCTCTATTAGCTGCAAAAACTACTTACTGGATTTATCTTAATGTAAAAAACATAGGCTATGTGACTTCGAATTAGGTCTCTGTTCCTATTCACGATATGTGATTTTATGTTTTAATTGGATTTTTTAATTAAAATGTGAAGAATCCATAAATTAAGAACACTGAAGCTAATTGCTCTTACTTGTTATTAACACTTTACACTTATATTATATTTGCAGTGCTGGACAAGGACCAGCTCGGACTAGAAGTGGTGGTGTTACTCCTGCTGCTAATTGGGGTTCTGGGTAAGTTTACTGTTGGTTTATGTAAAAATTTATTTTTAATGCTGTGCACTCTTGAAAGTCAATTGGCTAGCTGGAGGGTCACACAAATCTTTCTAGTGTGATTGTAATAGCTTTACTTCAAACTGGATTTTAACATTCAGAAATAATTTATTACCTTTTGCTCAGCCAAAGGGGTCGGGGCACACGTGGACGTGGTGGTCGTGGCCGAGGCCGTGGTCGTGGACGCGGTGGACAGGGAAGGAAGAAACCTGTCGAGAAGTCAGCTGATGATCTCGACAAAGAGCTGGACAACTACCATGCCGAAGCCATGCAGACTTGATATCCATATCCGATATTAGATAAAACCTAATCAGACAATTAGCTTGTAAGAGTTTGCAAAGTGACAGTAGTTCCTGTTTTTGCCATCCAGATTGTTGGTGTTTTTATTGTTTTTAGTCGATGTATGAATACTACTACTTTTAACAATGTAGCTATTGAAGGGTTATGTTTGATTTAATCTTTGTTTAGCTAAGCATCTCTCAGTGAATAGGACATAATTGTTAGCAATTCGGATTTTCAGAGGTTGGCTATATTTTGTGTTGTATCTTTCTATTCTTGTGCATGTTCTGTGTGCCATGACTGACATTTAGTCTCATATTTCAGTCATGCATTATTGTTGTAATATTGCTGAAGAGAAGTAAGATTGTCTTGAGGTGGCCAAGTTATAAATTAACAAAAAGAATTAAGATGTTTTAGCAAAGAATTGACCTCAAAAAATTTCCATGATACATTGTTGCAATTTAAATTTCCCCACTGAGTGATGGGTGACTGGACAAGAAACAATTCACGCAGAAATAATTAGGAGAAAATCCCACATCACTCATTAATAATGTCTCTATTCAATACCATTTGCCCTGTTTCGTCTTTCTTGAAAAGCTTCTCAGCCAATTCATCCCAGTTAGTTATTCTCTTACTCGAAGTTTCTTTACCCTTTGAGGAGGCATCTTCGCTCTTCTCTTCACCCTCCTCAATCTCCTCCTCAGAAGGCTCTGCAGCTATGCTTATCTCCTCCGCGGACTCTTCCTTGTGACTCCCTGAAGAAGGTTCCTCCTCTTCGGTTGCGGACACAGCATGAGGGATGTTCAAACTCACAGCTCTTTCCAGTGCATCCTTGTGTTCTTGTTTAATTGTCTGCAGTCTTTCGAATCTCGGCACCTTAGGAGCAGTTGTGATCGTCTCAGCACTACCCTCCTTCAATATCTGCAGAAAAAAAAAAAAGTTATGGTTGAATGATTGAGTAAATTTAGTTCATAATCCTCACTTCCCATATCTATTGTATGATCTTACAACACTTTAGCTTGAAACATGATAAGTAAAAGATCATTTGCCTGTTTCAAAATGCTCCTATCATTGAAATCCGATATTTTGTAGGGCTAAAGATGTTATATATGGCCATCAACTTATAGTAAAAAAATAAAAAATAAAATGTACAAATCGGATCTAAAGCATGATTATCAGGTTTTTAAACTAAAATGAATGCTGTAAATTGGAAGTCTTTCTCAAACACAAACCATTCGTGTCATATCCCAACTTCCTGAATATACTAAATTAAATGGTTTCATGGCAAATAAGGCTCACAACTTTGGGTAAGTTTTTCAATAAATTTGAAAGTCGATATCTTTACCCAAAACCAAATTTGAAATCGAGAAGGCACATTTTGAAAGAGCAAAAAAATAAAGGAAATAAAGTGAGCAAAATGCTCTCATCTTGACCAAAATACAGAAAAGGAGAATCAAATGACGAGGAAAGTAGGAGAATGTGATACTTTGTCTTACTTGTAATGCCTTCTCAGATTCTCTTTCTATCCAAATTATTCCATGATCAGATGTGGCATTGCATGACAGAACAATATGCTCGAATCTTCCATCAACCGGTATGGCAGTTCTTACTTCCGGAGGAAACCTCCCACATCTGTGTGCACAGCAAAGTAAATAAAGTTTCTTCTATAAAACACTTCCGAAAACTGAAAACTAGTAAGAACTTAACATATCAGGAGGAACATGAAATGAAAAGAGGAATAATTTAGCAGAAATGCGTGTCTATAGGACCATCAGGCAACATTCTACTCCATAATATAGACAAGAATCTGAAAACAACTTTTGGCAGGAGGCATATAATCAATGCTTAAACAATTTTGAATATTACACGACATTGGAAGTGATCTATCTACCTGCAGAATTTTCTTTCCACAATGTGATACATTCGGCCAGGTGCATAAAGTCTTCTTGGATCTCTGAGCTTTCTACCATCAGGTATAAACGTATCCCTCAAGCACACTAGAAATAACAAGCAGGGCAAACTGTTTAAAGTATTAAGGCCTGGGTTAAGAGAAGACAGCAACAATCCCACTCCTGGAATAAGAGAAAAGAAAGACAATTCTAAGGCTTAACTAACCAGAATATGGATTTGAATATATCCTCCAACGGGGTGGCAGTTCTTGGTAAAAAATCATCCTAAACAAGTAGAGAAGAAATCAAAGGCAACATTAGTAAATGATCGGATCCACTGGTATTATTTCACACAAGCAGCTCTTGAAATTATCATTCATTTCCTGATAGTCGGTTTGCCACTCATTGTATAAGTAAACACTTCATCTTCAACCTCTACATTCAAGAATTCACCACAAGGTAACTGGTCACAGAGGTGAAATTTGTCACAACAGATCAAGAATCGAGTCTCAAAATGAGGAACTCCAAACATCTGGTCAGTTGAGTTATCATGATTTACCTCTTTACAAACTGTCGGGCCGGAGTGTGAGGGCACCAAGGGCGAAAGATTTCGCCTTTTGGTACAAGAATTCACCACTAGGTAATTAAGCCAAATTGGTCCGGGGTTAAGTTGATAATCATAAGGTTACAAGTTTAATTCTAGGGTTTAATCTTTGCATAATCATCAAACACTACAGCTAAAACTACTCACCTGAAGCACAATGGAGTGTATTACATCGGCATATTTGACGGCCAAGTTGAGAGACATACACCGAGCTGGCGCGACGGCGTAACATGTGATCATATTCCGGGGAATACCCCCAAATTTGTGGCGGTGATTGACTACAATCACCGTGAGCAGCGACGCGACGCCGGATCCGAGAGAGTGGCCGGCGAAAATCATCTTATAGCTCCTCCCGTTGTCCTCCCAGAGCGTCCTCAGAGTCTCGGACTCGGTGTTCAGCAACCAAATCGCGGCCTTCAAGAGCCCGTGGTGCACGTACCCGCCGTCGAACATCTGCTTCCCGAGGCGGTTGTCGAGGAGGACCTTGTAATCGCTCTCCTTCCCCATATTAAGGCCGCGGATAGCGAGCACGATCTCGCGGTGGTCGTGGTCGAGGTAGATCAAGTACGGCGGCGCGTTGCCGCAGGTCTCCTGGTAAGTAACGCGCTTAATCACGCAGTCGGGGTTTAGTCGGTAGCCGCCGGCGGGCGCAAACTTGGGGTTCCGCAGGTCGTCCTCGTAGACGGCGAGGATCGTGCGGCAGACACGCGGCACCGGGTCGAATTCCTCCCGGGTCGCAGCTGTCCACGTGGCGCTGTCGTCGCTCCCGACGTAGGTGCACCGCTTCCAACCCCACCGCACGCAGCCCAACACCACCACACACTCCACTCCACATGCCACCGACATTACACAAACACAATCTTTTCACCTTCTCTCTCTATATCCAATTTGTACGTATAACAAGGAATTCACAGACCAAAGGTTGAAGAAGAAGAAGAAGAAAGAAGAATTGGAGCTGAAAGCTTTGAAGATGAAAGGAATTCACAGAGAAAGAGATGGACTTTTTGCTAGTTTCACGTGGATTAGTTGTAAAACTACGGTCAATTCTATTCTTTTTTTATTCAATAATCTAATCTAACTACATTTTCGAATGTAATTCACGCACTAATTAAACATTTTTTTTAACATTAACGTGCATTTATTTACTAAACAAATCTTATAACATAATTTGAACTTATTTCTTACAAAAGACTAACCCCAAGAACCCGACAGAGCATTTGGGAGGATGTAAATTATGGTGACTCAACTGAACATGAACCACATAGGCTAGACCTCAACCCTAAGAGCCCGACAGAGCATTTGGAGAGGCGACCGGTGCTCACTGCGCACGAGAAGTCCCCCTCACTTTGGGAGGATGTAAATCATGGTGACTCAACTGAACATGAACCACAGAGGCGGCCCCCCTCACTTTGGGAGGATGTAAATCATGGTGACTCAGCTGAACATGAACCACAGAGGCGACAGGTGCTCGCTGCGCATACCTTGGTCATTCTTCCAAAATTTCATCTCTATGACCAATTGAGCTACCTATGCGAACATAATTTTAACTTATTTGACTCTCTAAGTATATGACTAATTATTTTTTATAATAATTTATTACTTACAGCTAACAGTTAATTTATAAACATCTTTTTATAATCAATTAATATTATCAATTATTTAAACATATTAACTCAATCAGACAGCTAACAACTATTTATCAAACACCCATAAACTTTAGGTATACTCTAATAGAGTAAAAATATTTGATTTTGATTTATGAATAGAATTGTTTAGCCTAAAAGAAAGGAGGAGATACTAGGAATTTGGTTCTTATCTTAATGTCTAAGCAAGATACGGAGAACATGGTTATAGCTGTCACCGGCCTTATTATTATTCATTATTAGGGGAAGAAATGCAGTCATCCAGATAATATTGAAAAGATTTGGAATTTAATATAAAAATGGACAAAATTAATGTGAAAAATGTGTTTATCCCTAAAAACATAAAAATGAAACCCGACAAATATAACTTATTTCTCAAATAAATTTCGGCCATTTTGGTGCAAAATTCAAAATCTTCAATTATTTCTGTTTTGGTAAAGAAGGTGACATTTTGCCTAATCTTGTAGATGTGGGACTCTATTGCATTATGCTTTATGCATACAGCATACACCGCATTTCATTTGGCTCAGCATTATGGCCTACTATGGACCATATTGAAAACTGAAAAGTCTCTTTCACTATTATTGTTCTGAAATTTTTTTAAAATGTGTTTTAAATATTATGAGCATTTTAGTTTTATTAAAGACATCCTCAATAGATTGATTTTTTACACAAGAATTAAGAAGTCATGTAAGATAGAGATGAGGGAGAGAGAAGAAAAAGAAAATAAGAAAAAAAACAAAGCAAAAATAATAACAGTTGCACGAAACAGGAAACAAAAAAGAAAGACTATTTGTGCTGGCAGCATCTGTGTGGTATGGTCCAAAAAAAAAAAAAAAAAAAAAAAAAAGAGATGGGACCCACATTTATGACAAAATCTTCATTCTTGCAAGGGGGGGGGGGGGGGGGGGCGCTCTCCCCTCTATCCTCCACCTTGCCATTTTTTTCTTAAAACTTCTGCACAAACCCCTTATTGGGATTGCTCTAAATGAATTGCGATTTTTTTAGTAGACTAGAGGAACAGCGAGATTCGATGCAATTTTGTTCATTGTAGCAGGTGTTTTCCTATCAGTGGACCCCTACCATACATCAATAGTCCCTATCAGGCCGAAACTATGACGTGTAAAGAGGCGCTCTTTAGACTCAAGTTGCGAAATCTCAACAAGATTTTGTTAGAGTCTGATTGCCACAATGTCGGTACGGTCATACATAACATAATCAAGGATTTTTCATACATTGACCTTATTCTATATCAATGTCTAGTCTTGTAATATTCTTTTCAAGAAGATTTATGTCGTTTTATCCCCCTTCAGCGAACCAGATGACCCACACACTAGCGAGGGGCTATGGCTCTCAATATGTTCGTTTTACTTAGGAGGATTCTCCCCCGATTTCTTTGTTACAAATTTTGAATTAATGCATTGTTGCTTTCCCTTTCAAAAAAGGAATAAGGGTCAAATATGCCACTAAACTGCACACGAGAATGCAATTAGGTCATCGAACTTAAAAACCCTACAATTGGGTCCCTAAACTAATCAATTTCATTCAATTTGTCCATTTTTCAAGTTTCTCAAGTTGCTAACAAGTTACCCCTCCACTAGGATGCATATGTGTCATTTTTTTAAAAATAATTTATTTTTAAATTAGTTTTTTTAATATTTAATAAATAAAAACTAAAATAATTTATTTTTAAATTAGTCTTTTTTTAATGTTTAATAATTAAAAACTAAAATAATTTTTTTTTGAAAATAAAATAATTTGTTAAGACATCGTACATGGCTTGGATTTTATTTTAAAAAAATTATTTTAGTTTTTATTTATTAAATATTAAAAAAATTTAATTTAAAAATAAATTATTTTAATTTTTATTTATAAAACATTAAAAAAACTAATTTAAGGTTTTCAAAAAAAAATTAAATTTTTTTTTTTTTAAAAGCCACACATGCATCCTAGGTGGAGGGGTAACTTGTTAGCAACTTGAGAAACCTGAAAAATGGACAAATTGAATGAAATTGGTTAGTTTAGGGACCCAATTGTAGATTTTTTAAGTTCAGTTGCCTAATTGCATTCTTGTGTGCAGTTCGGTGGCCTATTTGACCCTTATTCCTTCAAAAAAAAATGCGATTTTTTAAATAGCATGAAACTATTTATAATTTGCTATTCAAGTTGGGGGTGATGATGATATGTTATTCGCAATAAAGTGTAATTTATAATTATAGTTGGCGATTATAAACTTTCCCTTCATCCATGTACATGGCAAAGTATGTTGCACTATGTTCAGGTCATATTCCCAAATACTTTTTAACACAATCACATTTTATTTCATAATTTTTAATTTTTTTTACTAACATTATCATATTTGATTACTTGTTATATTTTTTATTAACTTATGGAACAATACATTTGATGGTTTTAGGGTTTTCGGGCCCAAGGAGGTCCAACACAACCTTTGGCTGGTGGGTGCACCTTTCAGTAAAATGTATGTCTATTTCGGAGATTATGCTAGTACTCGGAACTTTTTGGTATTCTCCCCCTTTGGGTGTTCAATTGTCTGTCCTTTTACAAGAATGGAGGAGCCTTTATATAGTGGCTCCTCCTCTACCGACTTGAAGGCCTTTAATGGCCGACTTCAAGGCTAATTAAAATATAGAGCCGTTGGACCCCGTTACTCGGTCGACCAACGGCTCTCCCCAGGCTTGTAACGGCCCGACCGAGTCCTGCTTTCAATGTCTTAATGGCTCCCTGTTAAACGAACCTCTTCAATGCTCTCAACGGCTCCTTGAGCCGAGTCCTTTCCTGGGCTTGGGCCTCGGTCGACTCCTTGTCTCGGCCTAAGCTCCTACTGGACTCCTCCTAGCAGCTCTGAACTGGGCCCCGTGCTTGGGCTTGGGCCGACTCCCAGACTCGGCCCAATTGCTCTTCGGGCTCCTCTCGACGCTGGCCCAGTTCTCCTATCTATTTTCTTTGGGCCCCTATCTCTTGGGCCGGGGTCCTCACCCCATCAACATTAATTTCACAACTTTAATTTTCTCTTCTTACTAATAAACAGCATAACAAATAACAAAAAATAATAATAATAATAATAATAATAATAATAATAATAATAATAATAATAGATACTTTTTCTTAAAAAGTTACTCCATATTTTTTAAAAATATGTTATGGCGTTTATTATATTATTTATCAACATTTTTAAAGCATGAATAGAATACAAAGATAATGAAATTAATAAATTATCACAAAAAATAATGTTAATTGGATGAAAATTGTAAAAAAAAAAATAATAATAATAAAATAAAATAAAAAACCTAAATGTGACAATGTCAGCAAATTATATAATTAAAATGTGGTTAAAGTAAAAATAAAAAATAAAAAGTGAAAATATTCATTTTCCTAAAAATAACTTCTAAATTTGATTTGTATATTTAATAAATTTTAATGTATTCTATAAATATATAAATTTATTTACTAATGTTGAATTATATATTTTATAAAAAATAAATTGTAAATAATTTAAAATTTCATTAGTCAAATTGATACAAAATAGGATGAAGGAAACATTTCCATACAACTTAAACCTTGGATGATATGAAACTTGCAAACAACATATATATGTATTTTCTTTAATTTTAATTTTTGAGAAAAAAAAAAATAGAGCAATATGGACAGGGAACGTGATCAACAGATCATAGACTAAAAAGTAAGACAATGACATTTTTGTTATATTCCAGGAAAGTTTACAGGTTACATGTGAATGTATGTTTTGTTCAACACGCCACACAAATATAAGTTTACCCTAAATCTAAGGGTCCTCACCTCAATCTTAAGATTGTGAGAAAAGATAAATCACAAAATATACATACAAACATAGGTTTACCCAATTACCCTAAATCTGAGTGTTCCTCACCCACCGTTTTAAGATTATGAGAAAAGAGTCCGCATGGGCTTAGCTCAATGATTCAGTGGGAAGTATTTTGAAGAAAAGACTAAAGTTCGAAACTTGGCGACGGCAATGTGGAAATTATGTCTAAAGTGGGTAGATTCCTTGTGTGCACTGGCATCTGGTCTTGTCTATTGAACTATTGAATCACCGTGATTTACATCTTCCCAAATACTCTGTTGGTCCGGGGTGTTGAGATTTCAAGGGAGAAGATTGTGAGAAAAGATATATAGCAAAATGTACATACAAACATAGGTTTACCCTAAACCTGAGAGCCTCTCACTCATGTCTTAAGATTGTGAGAAGAGATAAATCGCAAAATGTGTCTTATAGAGACTGAAAACTTTCACACACAAACATGAGAATTCATTAGGTAGAGATAAAATCATAAAATAGAATAGTTTGTTGATCACAAGACCTATTCTCTATCTTATCTTGCCTCTACGTCACTCAACTTTTTGTTCCAAGAAAAGATTTCTTCAAACAATATTGGGAATTTGAAGATTGTTTCAACTTTCAAAACATTTAACTTCAAGTTCTCTACAAAACTGGCTAGTCTATGGAGTACCATTTTATTTCTATATTACTAGAATGTTCAAGTTTGCAATGCATATATGCACAACAAGAATCCAACAAATTTCCCAGTCATAAGAAATCACCACCACCTACTATGTTCAAACTTGGAGAAAATGGCAAAACAGGACGCACCACTCACTATAAAATTGTTGCCAAACTATTCCCCAGCAATTCACCCATTCGCCTCGAGGACTTTGAGAATTGATCGAAATGGCAATTCTGCAGCGAGTTTTCTTCCCACTACTTATCGTTGTTGCGATTCCTGCAGCAGTAGCAGCAGCAGCATCAGCACCAGTCACGTATGTGTTTGGCGACTCGTTGACAGAAGTGGGAAACAACAACTTCCTGCAGTCTCTTGCCAAGTCGAACTACCCTTTCTATGGAATTGATTATTTCGGGGGAATGGCCACGGGGAGATTCACTAATGGAAGAACCGTGGGCGATATAATATGTAAATGCAGAAGAATAAACACTACTTACTTTAAGTTTTTGACTTTTTGTTGTAAATACTTACTAACATTTTGTTGTTTTCTCGAGATTTTATCAGCTGAAAAGATGGGGATTCCATCCCCGCCTCCATATCTTGCCTTGCTACCCAACGATGAAGCCTACGTGACAGGGGTGAACTATGCATCCGGTGGAGCTGGAATACTCAATGATACTGGGCTCTACTTCGTAAGAGTTTATCACTACGCCAAAAGTTATATAGCTAGTAGCGAATGCACAACTTTATTTCCTTATACACCACACATTTTCGAGACACTGAATGCTGAACTTGGCCAATATATATATATATATATATACAATCTCCATCACGTTTTCTCCAAATTGTTTTGTGTCATGTTCTGCTTCGACGTCTTTCTGATGTTTTTTCGGGTGACAGGTTCAGAGGCTGACATTTGATGATCAGATTAGTTACTTTGAGAAGACAAAGGAAGCTATCAAGGCCAGACTCGGAGATGAGGCTGCAGAAAAACACTGCAATGAGGCACTTTACTTCGTTGGAATTGGTATATCTATATATAAACAACTAATTAGAACAGTAAAGCATATATATATATATATATATATATATCTTCTTCCTTGGAACTAAAGAGTATTTTGATCTTTTCAGGTAGTAATGACTATGTAAACAACTTCTTGCAGCCCTTCTTAGCAAAAGGCATTCTTTATACTCATGATCAATTCTTGGAACTTTTGACGTCTACCTTAAACCAACAATTCATGGTAAAGATCAATTCTTGGAAGTTTTAGGTGTGATGAAAAACTCCATTCCTATTTATTCCTTATGAATTTTCTTTGTTCAGAGGCTTTATCATCTAGGTGCACGAAAGATACTCTACCACAGCTTGGGGCCTCTCGGGTGCATTCCATCCCAGAGGGTGAAATCACAAACGGGGGAATGCCTATATCAAGTCAATGTATATGTTCAGGAATTCAATTCGAGAGTAAAAAATATGATAACTACACTAAATACCCAACTCCCATATGCAAAGATGACATTTGCAGACACTTATCACGACGTTTTGGACTTAATTGAGAACCCCTCTGCCTATGGTAAGGCTCAGCTCGATTAGGTAACTTAAGATTATGCAGAACTATAAGAGTATAATCTGAACCCTCTCTCGCTTGTTATGAGCATCAGGTTTCAAGTATTCCAACACGTCGTGTTGCAATGTGGACACGAGTGTGGGAGGGCTATGCCTCCCAAACTCAAAGCTGTGTCTAAACCGCTCAGAGTACGTGTTTTGGGATGCTTACCATCCCTCAGAAGCTGCAAATCTCGTGCTTGCAGGAAAGATTTTCACCTACCTCGATGAAGCTCACAATCGTTCTTCCCATGCTCCCAAGCCTTCTCATCGGCGACTGCTTTCAAATGGAAGATCAATTCAGAAAGTCATGTAAAACGGAAGAGTATGAATACATATACCAATTAAAAGAAGCCTTTGTAGTTTAAAATTGTTGAGAAAACCTGCAAAGAACACGCGAGAGTGATCTTGATTCTTGCAAGTGTATTCAAGTCTTCAAAGATGTTCTGTAACATTATGTGTTGTGTTTTGGTGTCATTCTTATACAACCTGATACATAGGGCTATGAGTCCTAAAATATCTCTTAAATGTAGTGTTAGAAGACATAAATCAAGGGACAATCAACAATATAGACTTCTGGAAAACAATGAATGAAACCAAGGGGATGAAAAAAATTAGTTAAAAAATCGGTCCAATTAGAGTACAGTCACAACCTTACAAGATTTCCTAAGAAACTAAGGGTAGGTGGTTCCAATTGGTTCTGTACAAAAAGACCCGCTCTACCCTATACTAGCTACTTCTGAAGGATCAAATCGCCTTCCTCCTCCCTAAGCTCCTCGTTTTCCAAGAAAGGGTGGTTCTTGAATACCAAACAGGCTAGAAAAGAATAGCACTCAACCCCACAATTCCGAGCATAATATGTGGCATGGAGAAAGTATAGTGTAGATGTGGCGACGAGGAGACTGATGTGCTATTAGACTCCATGGCTGAAGCTGTGCCGTTCAGAAACGTACCATTTCTGTCACCACTGCAAGATCGCAGCAAGCAAAATTTTTAGATATAATAACCGTAAGATCTTTATAACATTTTCTGGGAAGATGGACAATTGGTGATTAAAACAAATAACGACACGTTTTTTTTAGTACTACTGACTCTGTTACAATGCAGTATATGTTCATAACTACTTTCTCAACCTTCTGAAGCACAAAGAGTCAATAATGATATATTTATTCAGCAAAGTAAGCAAAAGTACCTTCCAAATAGACACAAACCGTGACCTGCAATAATCACATCAAGAGGAGCTCAATAAGTCACTAAACTACGGGCTAATAAGTTGGCAAGATAGTGGAGAAACCCTTACTTGGATTAGTCGTAGTGACAGCAGCCACTCCATTGAAGTTGCAAGCCTCGGGGGCCTTCCCCATCGTCTGATAATAAGTGTCAAAAGCATACGTTGCATGTGCAGCCACGGAGTCCGGTTCATAGCACGGTTGTCCTTGCAACAACGGTGAACAATCCACTTTGCCCGGTCCACAAGCCCAATCCAAAGCAGCCTGCAGCATTTTATGATCTGCACCGTCTTTAGCAGAACAGTAAGTCTGGTTCGTAGTATCGTTTGCTAACATAGATCCCGACCCAGTCAACCTTAGGATATAAGCAGGCGTGCCATTCGCATTAAATAACCCCCAGTTCTTCTCCGATAGAGAACCAGCTTTCGTGTCTTCATTATACAGCTCATATATGTAAGTACTGACACCAATACCAGGATGCTTTGGAGTCCCCGTTTTGTTTAGGACATGCTTTATCAAATTGCTGTTATACGTGTTGGCATTGTCTAAAGTGGCATCAGGCTCGTTCGAGTCCCCCGTTGATGGCCAGCCCGACTCAGTTACCAGAACAGGAACGTTAGTGAAATTAAGATCAGCCAGGGCAAAGTATGCTGCATCAACAATGGCATCAAATACGTTGGTATAATGGAGAAGGGTGTTGGAATCGACAGCTTCTTTGTTCGAAGGAAGGGGCTTGAAAAGAGCGTAATCTAATGGAATAACACCATTCGATTGCATGTACTCGTAATAAGGATAGACGTTGAGCATGAAATAAGAACCAGTAGATTGCAAGAAATTGAGCATAGGAACCAAGACTGGCTTCAATGAGTGGTTAAAGAAAGCTTGGGATGGGGGGAAGGAGTCGAGGATGATCGAGGAAGCAAGAGGCGTTGACACTTTGATCTGCCTACCAAGGTTGGATGCCACTAGCGCCGAGTGGATGAACTTAAGGGCATTGACAAGAACCGGGGCAGCATTCGAGAGGGAAGTGAGAACGTCAGAGCCAACACAAATGGTAGAGATATTGGTGGCTGGATAATGCGCCACAACGTTTTGGGATACCCAATTCGCTGCAGTGGAATTCGATTGTCCAACGCCCAGAAGCTGTTCGTTCGGGATGGACACTGAAACTTGGATGCCCGTGTTGGCCAAGGCCAGAAGCATGCCTCGATCTGCATTGTACAAACGGACATGGCGAATTTGCTGGGTTTTAAGAAGCTCAACAACTTGAGTTGGGTGTGGCATGTCAGACAGGTCTGTTCCTATGTTCACACCAATGAAGGCATCTTCAAGCAAAAAATAAACTTAAAGTTAGACTCAAACTAAGAATGCAGCTAAGATCAAGTAACCAATATGAATTACATCATCTTTTTTCCCACCAATATCTATATAATCAGCAAAAATGATCCCTCAACTGGGCTATAATGAGTCAAACCATACCAAAAAATTGAATCCAACCAATTAGCTAGGCAAACTCATGGCCTTATAAACCCATATATTCTCTAGGGTGATTGGTCGAACAAACTGAGCTAGCCCGCCCGCAGGGCAGCACTAACATGTTATTCCATGTCATAGTGGCATAAAGTTGAAACAACTAAGAGAGCTTGATGAAGCTTTTGGGGGCAGACATATGAGAAAGAAGAAAAAAAAAAAAAAAAAGCATTCTTTGTTCATATAGCCTGAATGACAACTGACAAACTCAACAGATATATTCCTTCCTCTTTTCTTTTTGTCAGAAGATTAACATTTAACAATATCCCTAACCTTATATTTTCAGATTAAACTAGCAAAATGGAAAGGAAAACTGAAACCAGAAAGGCATATTCATGAATTTGCAGGAGGGTTTATACAAATGCACCATATCAGCATGCCATTAATTAACTACAAGATTTTTGTACTCTTTTTTTATTGACTGGAACTAACATTAAATAAAGCAAGGATATTTAGCTTAGCACAACTTCAACAAGACAAGACAAGATTATAAGCTCATAAGCATATATACCAAATACATATATAATACCAGTAATGAACAACAAGAAACAACCAAAGGCAAGGCTTTAAATAGCCACTTATTTGTAGCATTACATATATAAATATTGGTTAAAAGAAAGGAAAGAAAACGGTTAGCTCACCTTCATCAGCAAAAACAGCAGAAACTGCTAGGAACAGCAACAAACCTAACTTCATACATTGATTCTTCATTAACCCCATTACTCAAAGCTCTACTATAGAACAATGGGAAAAACTCAGAGCTGAGATTCTAAGAAAGGGAAGAAGGAAAAGAATGGGAATATAAAATCAAGAAAGAGTGGGGCAAAGGTGAGTGTAAAGCCATTTATTCTAGTTCCAGAGAGAGAGAACTGTACTGTAGTGCATCAATGATCAAGGGAATGGGTGTTGTCAGATAATCCTACGGTCAAAATATGGTCATCCATCTTTTCTTTTTCTTTGTTTTTTTGAAAATATTTACTGTTCAAGCGTAAATATTTACTGTTGAGCAAATTAAATTTTATCTCGTAATAAGTTTATATGAAATAAACGAGGCAAAAAGGTGGAGTGTTTGGGTTTTTATGGCGTTGGAAACAGTGGAGTAGCATTTCCTCGTAAGAAGTAAAGATGACAGGCATGGGGAAAATAGAGACGGACAAGTGGAAAGCAACAGAAGAAAAGTAGTGTAACAAGAAATGACGAAATGGGGCCAACGTGCGTGGACAACAACAAAAGACACGATCGCTTAGGTTGTCGGACAAAATAATACAGCTGCTCTCCAACGGTCATATTCTCACTTAACCCATTAGGCATTAGCCTCTCTATCGGCCCAACATATTTAATTTGGGTACCAAACATGGCAAATTATTGTATCAACCATGGTCCACACAATGTTCAACCATGGTCCACACAATGTTATGTGAACCATAATAAAAAGTATATTTTTAATATACTAAATGTACATTATTTTTGTACTAAATGTACATTATATAATATAATGTACACTCAAAATAAAAATAATGTACATCTCCTTAATACAATATACATTATTTTTGTATTGAATGTACATTATTTTTATACTGAATGTACATTATTTTATAGTAGACAAAATATGGTCCATACAACTTGTGTGGACCATGGTCCACACAATAATGATTGACCAAACATAACCATTGGTTTATCAAATATACTGATTTTTCACTTTTAACTTAATTTTTAACTTTTGAGCAGATTACAACCCAATTGTTATACGGTGGACCATGATTCGAAAATGACGTCGTTTCTTTCAATAGAAAAATGACAACCGTTAAATTTTAACAAATTTCTTATTTTTGTGTGTTTATAACAAAATGAAACTGAATAATTTGTTTCGCATATTGTATTTATATTATTAAATGAAACTGTAACAGACGTTTGGTTGGATGTATTAAAAGAACAGGTTGTTGAACCAGTTCCAAGCAACACCGAACTCAATCTCATGCCTCAACCAAGAAGGTCAACCAGAACTAGAACAACACTCATCCATCTCAGTGACTACACGTGTCAAACTGTGACAAAAAGGACCTCTCCTCATGAAATTCATAAGTACATATCTCATGATAATCTGTTACAGAATTATAAAGCCTTTGCTGTAAACTTGTTAGATGCCAAAAAACCAAAGAGCTATAATGAAGCCATTAAAAGATACTGCTGGAAGAAAGCTATGGAAGCTGAAATTGATGCTTTACAAACCAACAACACTTGGGTACTTACAGACCTTCCTCCTGGCAAAGAACCAATAGGGTGTAAGTGGGTCTATAAAACCAAGCTTAAGGCTGATGGAAGCATTGAAAGATACAAGGTCAAGCTTGTTGCAAAAGGGTATACTCAGACCCCTAGATTGGATTACTTGGACACTTTTAGTCCTGTGGCAAAGATAACTACTGTGAGAATGCTTCTAGCTGTGGCTGCTATCAAAGGTTGGGTTCTTCATCAGTTAGATGTGAATAATGCATTCTTGCATGGAGATTTAAATGAAGAAGTATATATGAAACTGCCTCCTGGTTTCACCCCTAGCAAGCCTGGTCAGGTATGCAGGTTAATCAAGTCTCTCTATGGCTTAAAGCAAGCTAGTAGACAGTAGAATGTCAAGTTAACACATGAGCTGGTAAAGATGGGCTTTAAACAGGCTATCTCTGATTCATCTCTGTTCACCAGAGACACATCTGATAATTTTGTAGCTCTGCTGATTTATGTAGATGATGTGATTATTGCCAGTTCTGATATAGCTCAAGTTCAACAAATTAAAAGGCACCTGAATACTGTATTCCACATCAAATATATAAGAACCTTAAGGTTCTTCCTAGGATTGGAAAGTTGCAAGAAACAGCAAAGGTATCTCAATGACTCAAAGAAAGTATACACTAGAACTACTTGAAGAAACAGGTTTTTTACAATGTAAGCCAGCAAAAACTCCAATGGTTACATCTGTAAAGCTAAGCAAAACCAGTGGCAACAAACTACAAGATGTTACTCAATACAGAAGGCTGGTGGGAAAGCTACTCTATCTCACAAGTACTAGACATGACATAAGCTATGCAACACGACAGTTGTCTCAATATCTATATTGTCCTACTGACATTCATATGCAGGCAGCTCAAAGAGTTTTAAGATACATCAAAGCAGCTCCAGGGCAAGGTCTTTTCTTCTCTGCAACATCCTCTTTACACCTCAAGGGGTTTACTGACTCTGACTGGGTTGCTTGTTCAGACACAATGAGATCTGTCACAGGTTTTTTGTATGTTTTTGGATACCACCGGTGTCTTAGAAGTCCAAGAAGCATGTCACCATTTCCAGAAGCTCATCAGAGGCAGAGTATAGGGCCTTAGCCACAGCAGCCTGTGAAATCCAATGGTTACTCTACATTTTAAAAGACTTGGGCATAACCAAGAGTCCTCCAGCTATACTTTACTGTGATAACAAGTCAGCCATAGCTATAGCAGAAAATCCTGTATTTCATGAAAGGACAAAGCACATTGAGATTGATTGTCACCTAGTAAGGGAGAAGCTACATAACAAAGTTTTAAAACTGCTGCATGTTACCACTGGAAATCAGCTAGCTGATGTTTTTACAAAACCTCATGCTCCTACTACCTTCTGCAGTTTAATAGACAAGATGGGTCTCCACAACATGTATCCTCCAGCTTGCGGGGGGGGGAGGGGGGCGGGGGATATTAACACATGCTTGCTCAAAGTCCACTCCAAGCATGCACACTTCACAGATCAACAGGAAGCCAGAGAACAAGTGCATCACCTTACCACCTTAACTGCCTGCTCAACTGCTTGTAACAGAATTAGTTAGTGCAGCTCTCTATCCTCTACCTTAGTATCTTTAGTCTTGATGTTGTATATAAGAGTTCAATACCTTACTGTAAAAGGGTTCAGAAATATTTTTCTCTCATGCAATAAACACAATCTTCTTTCTCTCCCTTTCTGTTTCATCTCTAAAGAACAAGAAGCTCTCTGTGCTTCTTGATATACCATACTCACTATTTTATTTTATTAGTGTATTATACATTCCAAAGTGGTTGGCATTTGCATTATTCACAATGTACTTACAGGGCGTTTGGTTGGGAGTAAGGAATTAGGGTGAAAAGGAATTGCAATTCGCTGGGAAAAGAATAATGTGGGAATAAAGTAGGAATTCAAATTACATTGTTTGGTAGGGATGAATAGAATTATTGGGCAGGGGATGAAAGAAGTGATATAAAGACTAAAATGTCCTTGTGTAATAATAATAGTAGTAATAATTAAGGGTACTTTTGTCATTTCATCCATTTTTTCTTTTCCCACAACCACCTAATTGCAATTCATAGGGGGGTGCCCATGAATTGCAATTCAGCAAAAGGAAGGAATTGCAATTCTGTCCCTCCAACCAAACGACGTAATTGTGACTTCCACTGAATTACAATTCAACTATAGCCAAATTACGCCCAACCAAACACGCCATTATAGTGAGAGTAATGGGCTTCCCTCCCTATAGGCCTCCATTATTAATTGAAGTACAAAGGTACATCATAGGTGATAGCTAGTGTGATACGTGTTAGCAAAATTTGTTGGGTCTTGTGGAGTTCACATGAACAATAAAGAGAGTCCAACTAATCATTATTGAAATACAACAAAAAAAAATAATCAAATTTCTCATAAAGTTACTCTATTATTATTATTTTTTTTTTTTGAGAAGTTCATTGAGGATGTAAATTAATATTTATGACGGTAAAAAATTATATATGAAAAAATTTACATAAATTGACATTTTAAGTAGTTATTTTGAGATATAATTTTGAGTGTGGTCCGTTTTCAATTTTGGCCAAGTCAAAGAGGATTCAAATGTTCCTAGTTGAAGATAAATTATTTGATATATTATACGCTCAAAATGAATAATGTGTGAATGAGAAATTAATTGTCAAATTGTACTCATTGAGTTGAAAAAAAAATGATGTTTTGAAAGTTTTTAAGAAGTCATTTGACCCACATTGAAAATGAATGTTAGTTCGCACTAATATAAATACAATTTAAGTTTATAAATAATCTGAATTGTATATTGTATAACATAAAATTTTTTTCTCACATGGGATTTTAGCGGTAAAGTCTTAATGCTTCGAACAGTAAAAATGATTGAGTAGTAAAAGATATGATGAAACCTTATTGCTTTTGAGTAGGAAATGAAGAGAAGTTGAAACCTTACTTTTTTGAGTAATAATGGATGTGAACCCTTAGGGGGCGTTTGGTTCACGGAATCTTGGATTATCCCAGGTAATAGGATTACCTTCTGAGGGGTCGTTTGGTTCATGGAATGTTAGATTACCCCAGGGAATGTTAGATTACCTTAGGGAATGTTAGATTGCTGGGAATGTTAGATTCATGTGTTTGGTTAAAATTGAGGTATGTAATATAATCATGTTTGGTTTAGGGTTATCTTTTATATATATATATATATATATATATATATATATATATATATATATATATATATAGTATCCTTAACATATTTTCATATATTTTAATAAATTTAAAAATTAAATAAATAAGATAACGATATCATATATAATTACATGATTTTAAAATATTAACTAAAATCTTGAACTTTAGAAACAAAATTATTTTATATGCTAACGTAATAAAAAATATATAATATAATTACAAAATAATTATATATAATAATAATAATAATAATAATAATAATAATAATAATAATAATAATAATAATAATAATAATAATATAAAATATATATTTTTAAATAATTAGAATTAAAATGACAAAATTTATGAATATACAAGGTTATCTTACATTACCTAACAAAATGAAGGGAATCACATTCCCTTCAAAATTCTATGTGGAGGGAATGTTGCATTCCCTGGGAATGTTATATTCCCTCAGAGAATATGAACCAAACATAGGAATGTAAGCTCGGGAATGTCAGATTCCCTTGGTTATGTAAGATAACCTGAACCAAACGCCCCAAAGGTAATGTGAGATTTTGGGAATGTAAGATTACCTTGTGTGTTTGGTTTGTATGGTGTAATATAATATTAACTTGTTTGGTTCAGGGTTATATTTTAGGTTATATAGATCAATTTACAATAATGCCCTCAATAATATATATATATATATATATATATATATATATATATATATATATATATTATGTGTGTGTATTTATTTATATCTATGAATGTATATCAAAACTTAAATATTAAAAAAAAAAACTAAATATATAAATATACACATATGTATTTTTGATTAAATAAACATATATTAATTTCATTATTATTATTATTATTATTATTATTATTATTATTATTATTATCATTATCATTATTATTATTATTATTATATAAGGATTAGTTAACAAGGGCAAAGTTGGAATAATTCAAGATACCGCCACATCAGCTTTCAGGTAATATAACATTACCTGATAATCTCATAACTTGAACCAAACAAGGTAATATAACATTACCAGACTAAGATGACCTAGATAATCTAAGATGACCTGAACCAAACGCCCCTTACTACTTCAAACAGTAAAGGATATGAAGCCTTACTACTCGTTATATTACTTACTGCTCTCAATCATTCACTGTTTATATCTCATCAAATTTAGGAATTAATTATGATCCAATTTATCTAAAAAATAACTTGTAACATCATATCTATTTTAATTAATTTGCTAGTTTTGGAAGTTATGATTTGAATTCAAATGTAATTTTTGAATGACATGAATGTCAAAGAATACCTAATTTATTATAAATATATTCTGTTAGCATAACATTTTAGAACTTTTGACTCCTACAAAAATTGATTTTTTTTTTTTCTACGAACCCTTTCTTCTTCCTCTAAAATTTTGCCAACACTTCATATAAAAAATTGAAGTGTTCTTTGTTCAAGTTTAATAAGAATGTTTATATTTGAGTACTCTGATCACTTCTATTTTTTGACTATACCTTCTCTCATGCTTTCGCTTATTTGGTGCATAAATTTAATAGGAAAATTGGACTACATGATGTGTATTTATGTATAGTTTCTCTTAATCGCGAAATAAAGGGAAGAGGAGGCAATTTAGAACAAAAGTGACCAATTCAAAACGAAGAAGTGAATAAAAAGGAAGTAGAAGGTCATCTAGAGGTAGACAGGGAAGAGAACACTTAGAAATGAGCAGAACAAGATCGTGGAACGGCTTCAGCAGCGGTCACAGGCATCGTCACGCCCCTGAGGATGACCTGCTCCAGTCACGGGTGTCATCACGCCCGTGCGTCGAACCATGCTGCATAATTTATTCGGTCATTTTCAAATCTAAAAATGGAGTAGTTCTAGAGAGATAGTGAACAATAGCATAAGGTAGAGAGAGTAGAATGAGATTTTCACATTTTTGGTCAAGAAATTACTTCACCTTTCTCCAAAAATGATAGATTCTCTTATTTTGCATATTTGATTCCATTTTGGATTGTGGATTCATTCTATTTTCAGAGATAAATGCTTATTGTTTTGTTTAATATTGTTGTCTTATGATGTTTTATTTTAATGTTTATACATTATTGACTGATATGATGAGTGAGTAGTCATATTTAGGACTTGGGATTGAGGTTGATATAAGATTCTATAATGCTTATTTTATGTTTATTGCATAGAATGGTTAAAACACAATCTAGAGTTCGAAATGTTATGGAAAATCCTTTGTATTCTTTCATTTCTTTGTGTTAAAGTGTGGTACACAATATCATTAACACTAATCTTGTAGGAAATTCAACCGCAATGAACGTTGGGTTGACATTCCAAAGCCCATCTCACAACCCCTCTATTCCTCTTCGAAAGTAGGGAATTTTAGGTACTATATTGTCTATTTGAAAATGTATTTCCGTGTACTTACAATGAATGACGTAGTACGTTGAAATGAACATCCTCCCAAATGCTCTGTTGTGTCGGAGTGTGAGGGCCCTTGGGACTTGGGATTCAACCTTTTGAGAGAAGTATTATAGTGTAATTATTTAAACTTTATTTATTGTCATGCATTTCACTATCTTAGGGTGGTTGATGTTGAGTCTTTTTATGCCGTGCATTATTTTATTTTAATAGTAAAATTGGAATGTTTATGACTGTAAATAATACAGAGTAATAAGGGATGTCAATTTTAGCGCAAAATCAATAAGCTAGCTTAATAAGATAAATTTTTTTTAGGGTTATAGAAAAAATTAGTCTGATAAAAAAAAGCAGTATGATGACCCGAACATGCCAGCTCAAAATTTAGTGAGTTAATCTGATAACACGAATCACATGGTACATAATATACATGGAGTTTATATGTACACTCATCTTTAGTATTTTTTATTAAATTTGTAAATAAAATTTTAATAAATATATTAATAAATTTATTACACAATACAATAATTTTTATGAAAATAAATTGAAAAATAAAAATCTTATTATAATTATTATATTATAGTATAAATAGTATAAATATATTAATTATTTTAATTAAAACTTAAAAATGGAGGATTAGATTGATCGAATGATGTATAAGTTTATATTTATTAGTGTAGATGCACTATTTTATTAAAATTAAGAGTTTAAAATTTAAAAATATCAAAAATTTTAGTCGAGCGTTCAATGTTTTAGGATTAAGACTAAAATTTTTAAAATTATGAAAAAAAAAAATCGATTAGCTCAAACCGATAAACTTGACAGCCTAAAATCAAGTGGGGGCTGACGTAATTGATATACTAGGTAATACTCTGTAATTAATAAAGATACTAGACATTAAATGTAACGAAATAAAAAAAAAATTAAATGTGGCCAATATAATAATACGGATTTTTTTTTTTTTGAAACAATAATACGGATTAATTGATTACTAGAATTTGCTATTTAATTTAATTAATTAATGGACATTCTTTAACGTAAAACGTTTTCTTTACATCCGATTTCTACCCTTCGCTGACACTGAGGAATCCTATGAACCAATATTGTTACGCCCGGGCCGGGCCCCCTTCTTGTCTCTCTCTCCCCCACTTTGGCGCCAAATAGAGTTCCTTTGCACGAATTCGCACCGCCGAAGCCCGCAGGCACGCTTTTCATCCCTACCTCTCTCCCAAAACCCTTATAATTCATGCGTTTCCATCTTCGATTTTACCGCTTTTTCTGTATTTAGCCCGGCCCGGCTTTCCTGATTTTAACCTTCTTTTTCTTAGTTCTTACTATTCTAACCAGATGCTATGTCCATCGGCGATAGTTGGATGAAGCCTTGAGAAAACAAGGCAGAAAATGGCTCGATGTTCGGATTCCGGTGACGTATCATCGATCAAATTGGAGAGTGAAGCCTGCGACGCGGCGTGGTCAGAGGAACACGAGCGTGTTCCATTGAAACAACGTCTGAAATTGCTCTTGGCTACCAAGCGCCTTGCCAAATCCGAGTGAGTTTTTTCATTTGTATTGTCACTGCATTTTTGCTCTGCAAGATTAAGGTGATGCAGTTTTTGCAATGTGCATGTCACCGGAGGAAAGCCTGTAACTTCGTTTTTGGTTTATTTTAAAACTCGATGTCTTATGGAAGTGCAATTTGTGCAGGCCTGCGACTACTAGTTTTGTTAGAAATCACAGCAACCAATGCTACTCACAGGTATTGTTGTGATTATGATTCATAGGTTTTTTGTTTTTGTTTTTGTTTTTGTTTATTACATAAACTGGTATTGGTGTTTATATCATTTATATATAGTTTTCCATTGTTTATTAACATCTGTAGCTGCACCTAATGAAAGTTTCTTTCTAGATTCACACACAGTAGTTATCAATGATCTCATTTATTGTTTCAACTTCCTATTGTTGCTGTTATTATGGAGTACTGTTTTTCAATTTTGCTTCATTTCCTCCTTTTTGTTGGTTGTACTTACACTTTAAAAAGTAAAATATCTTATTTTAGTGTGCCTAGAGTTATGTGCTTGTGATGAGACTTTATTTGCCATACTTGATTGGTGACTAAGTTCATAAAATAGTTTAATTTCACAGTCTATGTGCCTTGTTCAGGAGGAGAAGGTTGACATTCTTGAAGTGCAGCAAAATGGTGCTGGTAAAAGTTCTTATTTAAAGTCTTATGGTGTACGTAGTACGTTTTTATGAAAAGTTCAAAATGGTGTACTTATATTTCATATAATGTCTGCTTTATAAGGAAGATGAGAACATATATTAATGATTTATACTAAAGCTGCAACTGGTGTATGGAACAAGGTGATAAGCAAGTGCCAGGAGATTTACAAACGAAAACGAACTTTATATGTTTTTTTTTTAAATTTTTAATTTTTATCTTCCTTTTATTATTATTATTATTATTATTATTATTATTATTATTATTATTATTGTTATTGTTATTATTATTATTATAAATAAATTTGAACTTGTATATAAATTATTGTAAAACTGCTTATGGTGTTGAATAATATCAGAAGCCTTGCAAAAGAAAATAAGTGCATGAAATGAGGTGGAAAGTGATTGTACTGATGTTAAAATGTGTTTATAGTATTTTATTGGTGTAAACATAGGTGAGGTGAAAGAATGTGTCTCCCGGGCTGAAGGAGATAAGAGCATAAGCCAAAGCCAGATGACCACTGATAATATTATGTTAGACAAAGTTGATGCGGTCAACAGTACTTTACTTCAGTTGTTGCCATCAGACCTTCCCATAAAAACAAAGGTTTCTGCTGTCAATAAATTGAAAAAGTGCTTAAATTATTCATCCAGTGTTGATGTGGAGACAACAGTGAAGTTAAAGAAGGAGACTCCTGAATTTTTGGATGAACTTGATTTTGTGGTATTAAAAGAACGACAAAGAATGCTACTATCAAGGTACTATTTTCCTCAAGGATTTTTATCTTTTTTTATTAGGTTGATTTTTCTCTATAAGTGTTGAGCATTTCTATTTAAATTTAAACAAATAAATTCTAATGCCGAAGTTCAATAGTTTAATGAAAGTGTTTTGATGTTTTGATTTACTAGAGTTCTGTGACCTAAATATATTTAATATCTGTGGAGCTCAGATAACAAAGATTAAATAATATTTTTTTTGATGTATATTCTAATTTAAATTTTCAGGAAAGCACTTTCTTTGGAAAGGAAAACTATAGAGGTAATTTCTCTCGATTTGGTGACTTTGTAGTTTTGTATTTGTTAATCATTCTCCAAAAAATTTTGCCACTTGTTGGAAGACTCATGAGATGAATAATGAAATAGATTTATGTACATATTGAATCTTTGAAGATGATTCTTGACTCAACAATGATGCTATCTTGTTGAACTCTTCTATGTGATATTTAGGTTTTTCTTCTTTCAAGCAATTTTTTGCTGTTAATGGTCAGTACGTGCATATTTTGGTGTTCATTCCATGAAATTATTTTTACTTGGTTTTTGTTACGAAAGTAAAGAGAGTTTCTAAGTTGTTTATTAGAAAAGAGAATACACAGCCCTATAAATACTAAAATACATGCTAGAAGACTTTCAATAAGGAAACAAGTTTTCATATGACTACCTACTCAAATCCCTATAAATCTCCACGCTGCCTAATAATGGCTAATATAATTAGGTTCCACAATACTTGTACAGTTGTACATTCCATAACACTCCCCCTCAAGTTGGAACATAGATATTAATCATTAATCATGCCCAACTTGTTACACAAATAACTAACTCAAATCCCATTTAGTGCACTCCCCTAAACGAAAGCTTGGACGCCACCAATACCACAGACAATCGGGTGAACTCAGAGTGGACTGAACAAGCTTGGGATTAGACCCTCCCTCTGAACCGGAAGCTTAGACGCCACCAATACCACGGGCAAACACTGGGTGAACTCAAAGTGGACCAAACAAGCTTGGGATTGGACCCTCCACTGAACCGGAAGCTTGGATGCCTCCGGTACCACGTGCAAACAGTGGGTGAACACAAAGGTAAAGAAGACAAACTCTGAGAAGGAGGACACAATTTCTTTACCAACAGAAGGGAAGCATGCCCCAAACGACAATGAGGATAAAAAAGGGGTGACAACGCCAAAACAAGCAACGGACTCGAACTTAGCAAACTCATCAGCAGAGATCAAGACTGACTTGGCAGATGTATCAAACTTATTTGCAGCCATCCCAGAAAAAAATATCACAAAATTCAAGCCTGAATGTGTACGAGAAAAAGTGACAGTGGAGCAAAAATCACTAACAACGCAATGGTCCAAACCAAGTCTAGAACCTAAATGGACTCAGGCGACCTAGGTGTAGTCAACCAAAATGTTTTCTGGTCGTTGGAGGAGCCTCACGTGCCGGCGCGTGGAAGAGTGGCAGCGAAGGATGGCGCCACGTGAGGCTCACACGCTGGTCAAAACATCGTCAAAATTTCCAGGCAAGGTCGCTAGACACCGGCGCTCCTCCCTAGGTCAGCGGTGACGACAACGGAGCAAAAAAGAATTATCGTAAAGGCTCAGATACCATGTTACGAAAGTAAAGAGAGAGTTTCTGAATAAGTTGTTTATTAGAAAAGAGAATACACAACCCTATAAATACATGCTACAAGACATTTATTAAGGAAACAAGTTTCCATATGACTACCTACTCAAATCCCTATGAATCTCCAGGCTGCCTAATACTTGTACAGTTGTACATTGAGAAATTGTATTTCATTCGACCTAAGCTCAGGGGCAGAGCAGAGGACAACCCCTCTTGGTTGCTGGTTCGAATCCAGCAGGTCGAAAAACTTTCGAGTGTTGGGAATGTTATTAGGACCTTGGTTTTAATAATGCAGGAGTTCTACATTGGAAATATGAATGATAGAAAGGAATGAGAAGAAATTTGAGACAACAATAGTGGGGAGGATTGGGAGCGATTTAAACCTTATCTTTCACAATTCTTCAATCCTTTGGGTACAGACCTACATTTTTATTCAACTTGAAAACAAAAAAAGGAGCATAATTATTGGGTAGTGTCTGGTCCTCCTTTATTGGTGGAAGCTTCAGGGGTGAAATTTCTTGCATCTTCACTTTCTTCCCTGTCAACTGTCACAACCTTAACGTGATGCAAATGTATTTGAGAAATTTGACTGACTGCATGTGACTAAGTCTAAATATATTGATCATTATATAAGCTTCTTTCTCTTTTATTTTAGCTCCCTTCCTTTTTACCAATCATGTTAATTTCTTATTTTTCATGAAGCCTTTTCTTAGGATAAGTGGCTAACTAAAGTTTTAATGTTTATTTACTTATTTGTTCATTTTGAGTTGGGATTAGCATTGGGGTTTGGATGGATGTGGTTGAGTTCTTGAAATTTTTCTATGCTTTTCCCCATTGTTGTTGGTGGCAATTACCAAATATGCCAATATGGCCTTCTTCACTCTTTTGTTCGGTGAATTCTTAACTGCAGAAGAATAATACACTTTAGGACAATTAGGTTGTAAATATGGGAGCTGTTTACTCATTCACCTCCCATCCTGCATTCATGAATGTCTTATGTTAATTTTATTTTTTGGACTTGTAATTGGAAATAATATGGAGCATTATTATTATTTTTTATGTGTTGGCCGTGTTTCAAGTGTCATGCCACTTCGTTTATTTAATTTATTTTCTTAATCACAACCACAAATTTTACTTAATTTAGTCTTATTATGTATTGCATTCTCCTCACCTATACCCAATGTGTCTTCTACCAATTTGACAGCATTTGCTATAGAAAAGATCTAGAGTAAAGGAGTGTGTCAACAGCACAGTTAGGCTGATTATAGCATTTACGCAATTGTTTTCTCTTTAGTTTCAAGAACTTCTGAGCATGTGTGCTTCTTGCTGTTTAATGCAGGGCACCTCACCGGCACTTTCTAGCTTGGCTGAAGATAACGGGATCAAGCGAGGTAATGGAGTTGGAAAAGAAGATGATACTTCCAGTGATAGGGACTTACAAATGGCTGGAGATCGTTCTAAGATATCTGATTTGTCAAACTTCACAGTTCATGGATTGAGTGACTCCTGCCAGAAAGATTATTCATCTAATCTTGTATCATCAAAAAGGATTCAAGGAAATGATTGGTTATACTCTTCAAAGAAAACTCTTCCCGACCAGGAATCGAGTCATGGGTTAGATCTTTCTTCTGATAGTAGCAAGGCTAGGCTTAGTTCAGCAATTGTAAATGTCAAGGTTGAAGCCTTGGAGAGCGTTGAGTTAGAAACTACAGGAAAATATGCTACCGAGAATCAACCATATAATTGCTTCCTTCCAGTGAAAAGAGAACAAGAAGTCCCTAATGATTCTTGTTTAGATAAGCTTGACCACATGCTGCTGCAAGAGCGAATGAAATTATTTTCAAAGAAGGCAATTAATTCTTCAGGAGGTGATGGAATATCAGCTTCTTTGAGCAAAATAGTGCCCTCTGTGTTTGATTCCACACCCATTGCATTTGCAGCTGCCAAACCACTGAAAATTAACCGTCCACGAAAGCGGAGAAAGACTGCCACGTAAGATTTATTTATTTGCTATAATGAATTTATATTCATGATGTATGATCATCTATGAAGATTTTATTTTTCCCCTATGCATCCTCGGAATTTCTGAGGTTTGATCCCTTGTTCCTCGCATACCACCTTCAGAGATTCTGTTGAAGAAGCACTGGAGGAAGATGCTCCTGGACTCCTCAAGGTACTATTGCAGTTTCTCAGTGGTGCTTGTAATCTTGATGACTTTATGGACTTCATGTAACTGTGCAGGTACTGCTTGAGAAAGGTGTATCAGTTGATGATATTAAGCTGTATGGGGAACCTGAAAACAATGAGGCTCTGGATGATTTGCCTACAGAAGATAGCTTCTCTGAGCTTGAAGAAATTATATCAAAGGTTTGCTAATATATTTGTTACTAAGATTGTTTTCTGTTGCTGACTTGCAATCCTTAGCATTGAAGCTTATAAAACAAAGAAAAAAGGAAAGGTGATTTTTCTTTCATTTTCTGGGTCATGTCTTGTTATTCAGTATTACTCAAGTTAAAATGTTCATTTCAGTTTTTTTCTTTCTTTTCTTTTTTCTAATTTTTGGCCAATAATGCTTTCACTCGGTTTATATATGTCTAAACTTCTGTTGAAGAAGGTAATATGAAGGATGCAATGACAATATAGGAGGTTATTTGCATATTCATCTGTTTGTATGAGATTGATGAATACGACTACTACGTCCTTGATTCCCCATTTTCTTAATATCAAAGCTGGTAGTTAGTTGAGTTCAACTATCTGCTGTGAATACAATGTTGAAATTCTAGCCCAGTTTCAGCATTGTCATTTCTGCATTGCAGCTAAAAAAGATATGATGTGGGGTTTTTCTATTGTCCTTTCCCACTTCCTCTTAGTCATGAAATCAGTATGTGGTCATATATTCAGTTTTGGTAGATTAAGATTTTCTGTTCACCCTCTTAAGTATCATCACTTTTCAACTTTGAGATATAAGATCTGGGTGGATTTTGGTATAATTTCACAGTGCATATATATGATGTTATCTCTTCTTTTGACTTCTGGTTCAGCTTTTTTCCCGGCGAGATTCATTGTTTAAACTTGGTCCGCTGCATTTCTCAAAGGGAGAGAAGCCTAGCTATTGCTTGGCCTGTCTATTTTCGCTTGTGGAGCAGGTAAAAATTGCCTTGTAGTTTGATGCCTAGGGTTGTGAGGGATGAATTCCTTGCCTGCTTTAATTTGCTTGATCATCCTCAGATTACATTATTACCAGGTTTATGCTGGTGTTATCTTAAATTGGTACCTACTCCATTTTACTTGCAGGCACGATATTTACAGTTCAGAAAGTGGCCCGTTGAGTGGGGCTGGTGTCGAGATATCCAATCATTCATATTCGTCTTCGAAAGACATAACAGGTGAGATTAACGAATGAGCTTTGCTGAGGTCCATAATACGTCTATGCTCACTCTTACACACTTTCAGGATTGTGCTTGAACGCCCAGAGTACGGCTATGCAACATACTTCTTTGAATTGGTGGAATCTGTATCTATACATTGGCAGATCAAGCGACTGGTAACTGCTATGAAGCTTACTAGCTGTAGCAGGATCTCGCTAATTGAGAACAGAGCACTCTTGGTAATCAATGTGCTTTAGAACACTCCTATTCAAATTCTTGTTTATACCATGCAGTGGTGTCACTTGTGTTTTGCATCTAACTTCCTCTATAACATATAGGTCGGGGAGGACTTGAGTGAAGGAGAAGCGAGAGTGTTGATGGGATACGGTTGGATTCCCAACACTGGACTGGGCTCAATGCTCAACTACTGCGATAGAGTTGTTCACGACAGAAAGTACGAGAGGGATAGTTCAGAATGGAAGTCCAAAATCGGGAAGATGCTCATTGCTGGGTACAATGGCGGCAAAATAGTGCTGACGGACATTCCAATGAATCTTTCTAAAGACAATGTTGACGAGGAGGAGGACATTAAAGTAAAGTTAGAAGTGGATTAAGCTCAGATAGCTTAAAATTTTTTGTAAATACTTTTGAATTCTTCAGTCATATGTTCAACAATTTGTCCAGGAATGCAGAAGATTTGTACTTTATGTTCAGTGATATCGAGCATGTTTTTTTTGCAATTGTTGGATTAAGCTCAGATAGTATAAAATGTATTGTAAATACTTTTGAATTCTTCAGTCATATGTTCAAGAATTTGTCCAGGAAAGCAGAAGATTTGTACTTCTGTTCAGTGATATCGAGCAAGTTTTTTTTTTTTTTTTTTTTTTTTTTGCAATTGTCATATCATATATCAAGGTTTATATTGTAAACTTTGTCCAAAAATTATGTGTTTGCAGTTAACATTATTTTGTACATGCAATTAATAATTTATATAAACAAATAACATGATGGTAATTACATACACAAAATGTTAACTGTAAATACAAAATATGTCAACTACAAATACATAATATGTTGGTTAACATGTTATGTGTCTGCTGTTAACAGTCTGTGTCAATTTGTTTATAAGTACAGAAACGATTAATTGCAGGTAATTTTTACACCAATTATACTGTGGACCATGGTTCAAAACGGCAAACACTATAGTCTATCTAAACTGACATTGTCTCACGTATTATTTTTATTATATTATCAAATAAAATTGCAATTATATTGAAATGAAACTGTAGTATATACAAAATGAAACTGAATAACAATTTCACATATTTGAGTGTATATTGTCCAGCGAAATTGTAGTTATATCAAAATGATACTGTAATTGTGTTGAAATGAAACTGCCGTGCATAATTGATATTTGGACCACAATGTATTGTAGACATCGATCCACGGTATAATTTGCCTAATTTTTAGGTTAGAGCTCACAATGCAAGGTAAATTCTGATCTTCTACTAATGGGCCGACCAATACATGTTAATATATGGGCCAAATACATTGGGCCCTGTTTCCTAATCTCAAACCAAAAAATGCATATGCAAGCATACGAGAGCATGACGTTGATTACTATTACTATTTACTATTGTTGTTCCAAAGTAAAAGTGCAATGAAATATACGTAGTTACCTGGCGATTGAGTGCGGTGTGACGTTAAGTTTATATTATCCACGACCACGAATCTTCCTTGGACCAATTCAAGAAACGGTATTACTGTGAATATTCATTAATATTATCTTCAATTCTCTTATGACTTATCTAAAAAGTTCCTGGGCGCCATCATAGGTTTGCATGAAACTTAAAATAAGCAATTAAGCTAAGGTGGCAATCATGGCATAGCGAACTTTCTCGAAATGAGCTGAGGCCTGAGGGGGTTTGTGTATTTAAAAAGTTTTTCAAAGTGTGGAGCAATGAGGTGAAACATAAGTGCGGCCACATTATATATTATTTAAGCACCCCTTAACAAAAATTCGTATTTGTCGGAGCATTTTTCATCATAGCATCACAGAATTATTCTTCTACTCAATCCCCACCAAATCATCCTCACTATCATGCCTCTGCTATCGTCTCACTTTTTCCACCAAGTTTTACTCTAGTGAAATGAAATGATACGGGAAGGTATAATGAAAAAATAATAATTAATAGATAAATAAATCAGATCTCGACAAGACATAACTAATTTGATTATAATTATTTTAAAATATAACCAAGTGAATAATAATAATAATAATAATAATAATAATAATAATAATAATAATAAACATTTAGCAATTCAATTAATAAAAATTTAAATTTAACTTGTTAAAAATGTTAATTGTATTTTTATTTTCGTATTCAATGGTTTATTTGGGGGTTATTTGAGTTTAGTGGTTTATTTGTACTTTATCCCTAAATAAAAATGTCTTACTGTGTGTATATCATTATACATAATATTTTTAAAATAATGTTATTATTAAAATATTGTTAATTTTTATTCTCTTTTTCCAACCACCTTTAACAATGGATGCTCATATTTTGCATAATTATATTATTCTTAGCATATGATTACTGGAAAATTGTCAATTTCTGTTCTGTTCCTTTTTTTTTTTTTTTTTTTTTTTTTTTTTTTTTTTTTTCAACCATGCATCCCAAAAATAGATTCAATTTTAAGATTTTTTCAACTTTTTGACCCCTTAAGCTTTAAACCCTAACCTTAACTAGTGACGAAGAATTTTCCTGATTCCTAACTGTTAGTTGGCGAAGCCATTCCCGACCCAAAAAAAAAAAAAAAAAAAAAAAAAAAAACCTAAACTTTTTGATCACATTTTAATAGTCAAAGATAAAATTTAAGGATTTTCAGCAGTGTGTATATATTGACAAAAACACAAAAACACGGGACACTCACAAAAGTAAAAATAATATATTATACTAAAATTATTCAACTGGTAGCATCATGGTTTTACCCACTTTAGTTACGTACAACTTAACACCAAGAAATCCAAAAAGCTTCCATCCTAACAAACTTCAAAAAGTGCACCAAATAAACCTAAACTGGAATGTGTAGAAAAACGATTGATCCAAGACAAGTAGCCAATTGGTCAGTTTCATGAATTCATCACTACAATGAGTACATTAGATCTGTGATAGATAGTGGTTTGGGACATATGGGTTACATCTGTCTGTGGGCTAATCAACTCAACATTCATGAGTACCCAATATGGGACAAATCATCAAAAGAACATTGCAGAAGCATTTGGATACATGGCTACTTATTATTAGTGATAAGGTTTAGCATTATATTATATTAATATGTTATGTGCACTACTGTACACACAAATTAAGAATAATATAATGTTTTGTGAATCCCCACAAAAAAAGAAAATAAAACCATCGCAATCAATCTATCTATCAGCTCAAAAAAGCTATTATTAACACATGAAAATTGGAAATACATATGCTAATCTGCAGAGTGCCCATGTTTCGTGTGGACCTCCACTATGCACATATATGTTGCCCTAATATATAGTTTCTATCTCATATTGTTTTTCTCTTGATGCGTTGGCAACATCTTTTTGTTACATTTGCTCAACTCTAAGCCAATAATATGGATATGCCACTTTTTTTTTTTTTTTTCCTTTTTATATATAACTCAATTCTTCCCATCTTTTTGTTGTCCTGTTTGGTAAATGACTATTAGCTGATAGCTGGTAGCTGTTAGCTGATTGTATTAATTATAAAGTATAACTAGTTGATAACAATAGCTGATTGTAGAAAAGTGTTTGGTAAATTAGATGTTAGCTGATAGCTGTTTGAAAAAGCTAATTGAAAAAGTTGTTTGGAGTAGCTTTTTGAATTTTAGCATTTTAGAGTTGCAAAAAGCTAATTAATCAAACACTTGTATTTTTAAATTTGACTTTGTGTGTTTAATATTATTTTTGATATGGTATATGTATGTATCTTCTAATACCTATTACTTCGTTTATAATAGCAGCATAGAATATTATAGAAAAATTGAACATGCATGCTTATGAAGTAAGCAAAGTAAGTATGATACAAAGGAATAGTCAATACAATGTAATGGATCATATGAAAATCGATAGCACAATAATTAAACATTGTTTTATATTTTGACCTTAATTACGAAGTGTTTGAAAAAAACAACCTAGAAATTAAAGCTGTCAAATTAATTACCAAACAGCATTATATTGTTAGTAAATCTCCTGTCGTTTTCGGTTTAAGGTCTCGTTTGGCACTTGCTCTCACGTCATGTCACACGCAAATTATATTTCCTTATCACCAATTATATTCACTCATAATAATTGCTTAAATAGTCACAACATTATCCTCAAGGAGTCAAGGTAATATATATACATAAAGAGAATTTTTTTTTTTTTTAAAAGCACAAATTATATCAGAATTCAGAAACATGATTACATATGATATTGTACAATTATTTTATTTTATTTTTTTTTAACAAATGTATAATGCGAACTCAATTGCATAGATACTGACAATACATTATTTATAAAATAAAAAATAAATATTGAACAATATTATATATAACGACAAAAGAAAATGTTTATTAAAATTGGTTTGCCTTCTGGTTCTTAGGTTAGTTGATGGTATATCCCTAGTGCATGTTACGTAATCCCTCAGGTCATCCATACCTAAATAGAAATATTATAAAGCGACATAGCAGGTAAAACATACTAACAAACAACAAACCTTTTCCAACTATAATTATAATTCATGGCAGTATAAAGTATGCCTACATACTTATAATCATTACTTATATATATATATATATATATATATATATATATATATATATATATATATATAGGGATGCACTCAGGTGCGAATAAGTGTTCAGGAGGAAAATGCGAACGAATCAGCGCGCGACACGTGTCCAGATCTAATAACTTAAAAGAAACGCGGTGGCATTTTCGTAAATAATTGAACATCGAAGTGCAAGTAAAATCACTTACAAGTGCACCTACTTAAACCTATAAGTGCATGTAATTTTGCCTTGTTAGCATTCATTTTCCGCAAACATTCATGCACTTGGGTGTACTTATAACTTTATGTGCAACTATTTATAACTATAGGTGCAACTACTTATAACTATAGGTGCACATACTTTCACCTATAAGTGCATGTAATTTTGCCTTGTTAACATTCATTGATCTGAGTTCAGCGGGTAGTAATACCCCTGAAAATCACTCGCAAACATTCATACACCTGGGTGCAACTATTTATAACTATATGTGCAACTACTTAGAACTATAGGTGCAACTACTTAGAACTATAGGTGCAACTAAGTATTGATGTTCAGTGTAAATTTTTACTTGCACCTATAATACATTTTACATGCACTTGTAATACATTTTACTTGCACTTCGATGTTCAATTATTTACAAAAATGCCACTGCATTTTTTTAAAAAATCAGTGTTTCTCATCCATTAGATTAGTACTATCGATTCTATTACAAGGTAGTATCTGTTTAGAGTAAATTTCATTTTTGGTCCTATTGTTATAGGGACTTTTTTAATTTTAGACCACCATAATTATTTTTTTCACATTGTGTCCACTATTATTAAAAGTGTCCAATTTTTGTCCATTTTAAGATTTTTTGAGGACTAAAATTGGAACACTTTTAATAATAGTGGACGCAAT